AGTATGATGAGTACGGCTGGGAAGTCATCGGAGACTTCAAAATGGTGGCATTCCTGATGGGTCTCCAAGGCGGTTTTGCCAAGTTTCCCTGCTATCTGTGCCATTGGGACAGCAGGGACACCAAGGCGCACTACCACAGGGGGGACTGGCCACAGCGGACCGAGGTCTCTGTGGGGAGGAACAACGTCCAGTGGGAGCCACTGGTGGACCCCCGGAAGGTGCTGATGCCACCATTGCATATCATATTGGGCCTTTTAAAACAATTTGTCAGAGCTGTAGATAAGGAGTCGGCAGCCTTCAAGTACCTTCAAGACTTCTTCCCTAAGCTGTCTGAGACAAAGGTCAAAGCCGGTGTCTTCGTCGGACCACAGATAAAGAAGATTCTGGAGTGCAATGAATTCCCCAAGAAGCTCACTAGTTAGGAGAAAGCGGCTTGGGACAGCTTTGTCGCAGTGGTTCGTGGCTTCCTGGGCAATCACAAGGTCAAAAACTACGTGGAGCTGGTTGAGACTCTGGTGAAGAACTACGGCACAATGGGCTGTAGGATGTCCCTCAAAGTCCATATCCTTGATGCTCATCTTGATAAATTCAAGGAGAACATGGGAGCGTACTCGGAGGAGCAAGGCGATCGCTTCCACCAGGATAGACTGGACTTTGAACGCCACTATCCTAGGACAGTACAACGAGAACATGATGGCAGACTACATTTGGGGGCTGATTTATGAACGTGATTTACAGTATAATCGTAAATCTTGAAAAACTACTCACTTCTAAATCAGTGTAGTCATTTTTGTATTACTTTAGTATAAATAAAGGTCAATTTTTATTCATGTAGTTTTTTCTGACTTTATGTGAACGAAAATACACAAATTCGCCCGTTTTATCATTGAAAATAAGTGCATTTCAAAATATCACTGTTCTGGTCACAAAAGCGAAGTTTGTGGGGAATTATAGCCATTTTCTATACTTTTTAGGCATAACCAATTAGGAAATAACACTTACTACCCAGGAACAAAAATTGTGTTATATCGTGTAATCGTCACTGGTGTTGGTGGCCGTGAGCGGCGTTCGTCTCATAGCGCGCTAACCGCTACACCACCGCTCCCCACAACAACAACAACCTCCATTCACCACTCACTCAGTGGCGATGACGTCACCGCGACACTTGTGCCATGCTAGGTGCACTTTGGCAGGAGGTCACCGATCAGACTCACTCAGTGGCGATGACGTCAGAAGACACTGACACGCATTGTCACACAGACACACGCATTGTCACACATACACACTCACTGTCACACAGACACACTCACTGTCACACAGACACACGCATTGTCACACAGACACACGCATTGTCACACAGACACACTCACTGTCACACATACACACGCATTGTCACACACACTCATTGTCACACATACACACGCATTGTCACACAGACACTCACTGTCACACAGACACACGCATTGTCACACAGACACACTCACTGTCACACACACACTCACTGTTACACAGACACACTCACTGTCACACAGACACACTAACTGTCACACAGACACACGCATTGTCACACAGACACACTCATTGTCACACAGACACACTCACTGTCACACAGACACACGCATTGTCACAAAGACACACTCACTGTCACACAGACACTCACTGTCACACAGACACACTCACTGTCACACACACACTCACTGTTACACAGACACACTCACTGTCACACAGACACACTAACTGTCACACAGACACACGCATTGTCACACAGACACACTCATTGTCACACAGACACACTCACTGTCACACAGACACACGCATTGTCACAAAGACACACTCACTGTCACACAGACACTCACTGTCACACAGACACACTCACTGTCACACACACACGCATTATCACACAGACACACGCATTGTCACACAGACACACTCACTGTCACACAGACACACTCACTGTTACACAGACACACTCACTGTCACACATACACACTCACTGTCACACAGACACACGCATTGTCACACAGACACACTCACTGTCACACAGACACTCACTGTCACACAGACACACTCACTGTCACACACACACGCATTATCACACAGACACACGCATTGTCACACAGACACACTCACTGTCACACAGACACACTCACTGTTACACAGACACACTCACTGTCACACATACACACTCACTGTCACACAGACACACGCATTGTCACACAGACACACTCACTGTCACACAGACACACTCACTGTTACACAGACACACACTCACTGTCACACAGACACACTCACTGTCACACAGACACACGCATTGTCACACAGACACACTCACTGTCACACAGACACACTCACTGTCACACATACACACTCACTGTCACACAGACACACGCATTGTCACAAAGACACACTCACTGTCACACAGACACACTCACTGTCACACAGACACACTCACTGTCACACAGACACACGCATTGTCACACATACACACTCATTGTCACACAGACACACGCATTGTCACACATACACACTCACTGTCACACAGACACACTCACTGTCACACAGACACACTCACTGTCACACAGACACACTCACTGTCACACATACACACTCACTGTCACACAGACACACGCATTGTCACAAAGACACACTCACTGTCACACAGACACACTCACTGTCACACAGACACACTCACTGTCACACAGACACACGCATTGTCACACATACACACTCATTGTCACACAGACACACGCATTGTCACACATACACACTCATTGTCACACAGACACACGCATTGTCACACATACACACCCACTGTCACACAGACACACATTGTCACACATACACACTCACTGTCACACAGACACTGTCACAAAGACACACTCACTGTCACACAGACACTCACTGTCACACAGACTCACTCACTGTCACACACACACTCACTGTCACACAGACACACGCATTGTCACACAGACACTCACTGTCACACAGACACACTCACTGTCACACAGACACACTCACTGTCACACATACACACTCACTGTCACACAGACACACTCACTGTCACGCATACACACTCACTGTCACACAGACACACTCACTGTCACACAGACACACTCATTGTCACACATACACACACTCACTGTCACACAGACACACTCACTGTCACACAGACACACGCATTGTCACACAGACACACTCACTGTCACACAGACACACTCACTGTCACACAGACACACACTCACTGTCACACAGACACACACTCACTGTCACACAGACACACTCATTGTCACAAAGACTCACTCACTGTCACACAGACACACTCACTGTCACACAGACACACTCACTGTCACACAGACACACGCATTGTCACACATACACACTCATTGTCACACAGACACACGCATTGTCACACATACACACTCACTGTCACACAGACACACATTGTCACACATACACACTCACTGTCACACAGACACTGTCACAAAGACACACTCACTGTCACACAGACACTCATTGTCACACAGACACACGCATTGTCACACATACACACTCACTGTCACACAGACACACATTGTCACACATACACACTCACTGTCACACAGACACTGTCACAAAGACACACTCACTGTCACACAGACACTCACTGTCACACAGACTCACTCACTGTCACACACACACACTCACTGTCACACAGACACACGCATTGTCACACAGACACACTCACTGTCACACAGACACACTCACTGTCACACAGACACACTCACTGTCACACATACACACTCACTGTCACACAGACACACTCATTGTCACACATACACACTCATTGTCACACAGACACACACTCACTGTCACACAGACACACTCACTGTCACACAGACACACTCACTGTCACACAGACACACTCACTGTCACACAGACACACACTCACTGTCACACAGACACACTCACTGTCACACAGACACACTCATTGTCACAAAGACACACTCACTGTCACACATACACACTCACTGTCACACAGACACACTCACTGTCACACAGACACACTCACTGTCACACATACACACTCACTGTCACACAGACACACACTCACTGTCACACAGACACACTCACTGTCACACAGACACACGCATTGTCACACAGACACACTCACTGTCACACAGACACACGCATTGTCACAAAGACACACTCACTATCACACAGACACTCACTGTCACACAGACACACTCACTGTCACACACACACGCATTGTCACACAGACACACGCATTGTCACACAGACACACTCACTGTCACACAGACACTCACTGTCACACAGACACACTCACTGTCACACATACACACTCACTGTCACACAGACACACGCATTGTCACACATACACACTCACTGTCACACAGACACACTCACTGTCACACAGACACACTCACTGTCACACAGACACACTCACTGTCACACACACACACTCACTGTCACACAGACACACTCACTGTCACACACACACACTCATTGTCACACATACACACTCATTGTCACACAGACACACACTCACTGTCACACAGACACACTCACTGTCACACAGACACACGCATTGTCACAAAGACACACTCACTATCACACAGACACTCACTGTCACACAGACACACTCACTGTCACACACACACGCATTGTCACACAGACACACGCATTGTCACACAGACACACTCACTGTCACACAGACACTCACTGTCACACAGACACACTCACTGTCACACATACACACTCACTGTCACACAGACACACGCATTGTCACACATACACACTCACTGTCACACAGACACACTCACTGTCACACAGACACACTCATTGTCACACATACACACTCACTGTCACACAGACACACTCACTGTCACACAGACACACTCACTGTCACACACACACACTCACTGTCACACAGACACACTCACTGTCACACAGACACACTCATTGTCACACACACACACGCATTGTCACACACACGCACACACTCCACCGCACGTCACCCAACAGAGCCAATCGCTGTTCACCGTCGCCTGCTGCTGCTGTTGTTGTTGATGCCGCTGTTTGCCTCCCCCACGCTGAGAGGAAGAATCCCTGCGTGCTAACGGCGTCCCTCCAACATCATCAGCATCAGCAGCCGTCATCCATCAGCAACATTAACAACGACCACGACGATTGATGACAGAGGAATGAGATACGCGGTGAGGCTGTTGAGTGTTTGCATTGAGCGCAGTCGCAGCATTGAACGCGATTGGGGTGGGGGGGCATTGGCCCAATCCATCCGATGCCCTGAGGGAACTGTAACGCGTTATTACCGTGCCCCGAGGGCATTTAACGGAATTTAAATATCCCGCAGGGCGTGAGGGCATTTAATGCGAGTGCGGTAGCAGCGGTAGTGGTCGTGACATTGCAAATCACTACTGAGTAATCCCGACACCAGTTCGAGTCCAGGCTGGGCTGCACCAACTCGCACTGCACAGCGTGATGATGAAGTATGGCCATCAACAAAGGTTGCCTCGTGTAGCCTTAATCAGCCTGTCGGGGCAGTGCTGTTCGCGAGTAGCACCTGTGAAGGCCGGCACGGGGGACCTGGGGTGGCCAACACCACGCCCGGCCGCCTTCGTCTCACCCAGTGGCGCCGTCCAAACACCGCGCACCAGGGACTCAACGGAGGCTGAGTCGACCTAGGGGAGGCCCAGAACCGATTCTGACAATCGTCGGTGGCCGTGAGCGGGAATGGCACTCGGGTCGCCGCGTGTGGGGGAGACCACCACCACCACGATCATCATCATCCAGCAGTGGATTGGCAAAGGCACGGACGGTCACGTGACAAGGGGTAATTGGTATCGCTGTGCCGGGGGCAATTGATGGATAGAAAACTTCTCTGAGGGCGTCTGAAGTTGACCCATGCTCTGAGGGCGTTCGCTGTCTTATTTGCTCTGAGGGCATACGACGCGTAATTCCCTGTGCCCCGAGGGCATGTATGTGTACCGTCTTGCCTTCAGGACATTTAATGGTTTTTATTTATATAGTAACCGTGCCATAAAGCTCCTCCTCTATCTATGCATTCCCTAGGAACTGTCTTAGCTAATGCCTCACCATTCCTCACCATGCCCTTATTCTATCCCGACCATGCCCTCGCATGTCCTCGCATGCCCTCACCATACTCTCACCATGCCCTCACATTCTTACCATACCCTCACCTCGTCCATAAATGACGTCACGCACCTAGGGGGGGTCAGACATTTGTGACGATGTGTGACGAGGGGGGGGGGGGTGAGAAATGTGACGTCACATCAAAATGCGCGACTTTAAATAAATATAGAATTGTTATAACACTAATTTTGGTTAATTTTCATTATTAATTATTTGGTTGTTTAAATGTACTAAGGTTACCTTTTATTTATTCCATGAAGGAGCATTTTGCTTCTCCATGGGAGAATGGAGACGCATACATTTTGCATTTTTTTATGATTGTTATTAAACATTTTGATTCTAATGATTCTACCAGGGCTTTTCATTCTGTGGAATAAATATGTGATTGTTATAATTGTACTCTCCATTTTGCTTCATTCTACTACAAAGTTTCAATTATAATAATAGGGGTGTTCCCCTTTTTTCTGGCAACAAAACTGAAACCTTTTTACAAGGATTCATGTCACTGCATTAACCACATTACCTGCAGTCAAAATGCAAACAAAAAACATACTATGATAATATATGCATTGTCCTTGAAACTGATTGGTCAACACCAAGGGACGGCTTTCTTTTGAGCCTCGACCCAATTGGTGCTCGACCAGATGACGCCACAAGGCGTCACACAGCTCAAAGACAATGCCACTATCAAAGTAATGAGGGCTCGGGGGAAAAACCCCTATTATTATATTTTGGTACTGGCAAAGGAGGTCTAATGATAAAGTTTCAAGTATTTTTGTTATAGTTGTAATTATAAGATAATTTCAATATAATATTCTGAACATCTGCAGTTTTAGTTAGACGTTGAATATTTTCAAGTGGATTTTATGCTAAAGTTAAGCTTTCCAACGCCTCATTTTTAATACGTGTTTTCTCCTACAACATCAGAGTGCAGCGCCACATTAAATACGCACTACAATTACAATAGTTTAAAGCGATGTGAAGCATGTTTTATATTTAAAATGGAAATATGTTTTTTGGGGGGGGGGGGGGTAGAGCTTTGTGACGTCATATTTGAGGGGGGTTTGAGTTTTTGTGACGCCGTGTGACGAGGGGTCAAAAATCGTCCAAAATCGCGTGACGCAATTTATGGACGGCCCCTTAGCTAATGCCTCAACATTCCTCACCATGCCCTTATTATATGCCGACCATACCCTCGCATACCCTTACCATGCCCTCACCATGCCCTTACCATACCATCACCATGCCCTCATATACCCTTACCATGCTCTCACATACCCTTACCGTGCCCTCAGATACCCTCAGCATGCCCTCACGTACACTCACCATACCCTCACCATACCCTCACGTACCCTCATATACCCTTACCATGCACTCACGTACCCTTACCATGCCCCTCATGTGCTCTCACCGTTGCCCACCCGTGTTCTCACCAAGTGTGGGTGTCCAGGCGTGAGTCGGGCGCTGGTGGGTGGCTGCCACGAACCTGGCAGTGGAGGGCTCTGCCGTGGGCCTCTGTCTGTGTGTCGCCTGAGCCGTGTCCACCCACGCTGAGACGAGAGAGGGTGAGTGGGGGTCGTGTAGTCGTGAGGGCGATTGGGAGCGGTGGCGCAACGGTTAGCGCGCTGCGCTTCGAACCCGGCGATCCAAATTCGATTCATGCTTACGGCCACCAACACCAATATCTGAATCTGTCCTGGGCCTCCCCTAGGTCGACTCAGCCTCAGATGAGTTCCTGGTGTGGTGTGTAAACATCGTCACTGGGGAGACAAAGGTGGCGGGGCATGGTGCTGGCCTCCCACCCCCTTGTGTGCTGTGTCGGCCTTCATAGGTGCTCGCTAACAGCACTTAAGGCTATGCGGGGAATCTAAGTCACAGATCAGCTCTATAGAGCCCCTCTAAGAGGGTGTTTTGGCCAATTCTTCCAGGGCTGGTCAGGCGGCTTGGCAGAGGTGGGAGTACCCACACTTTACCCCACCGTTCGACTGTGGTTTATCCCATAATACTGCTGGAGGCAGGGTGGATCTAAGAAGCTTTCCCGTTTGCAACTGCCACGCCATGAGATTGATCAGACAACCTCTGGATTGCAAGTCAAGTGTGCTTGCCAACAACACCCAGAGCCATCCCTAGGGTACTGCGAATCAAGCGACTGCCCCGGGCCCTGTGCTTTGGGGGGGGGGCGCACTTCTACGTCACGGTATCAGTTGCAATACTTCCGGTTTTGTTTGAAGGCGTTGGGGGGCCAACATAGAGTGATTTACCCCAGGCCCTGCACTCTGCTATGGCCGGCCCTGACTACAGCATCCTATTGTCATCGTTTTTCAGCACTTTGAGTGAAAGCACTCAATAAATATGAATTATATTCGGTTGTACAACCTTTCATCGATAAATCCACATATTAAGTTAATTTGCGGTTTTTTATGCGTTTTAAGCCAAGCAATTTACTAGGAAGCAAGGAAACCCCACAGATTAATGGAAAATATTTTTTAAATCTGGAAGAAAATCATTTTTAAACAGCACAAGCATCCAGGAATATCTACAGTTACAGTATGTAGGAGAAAATCTCGTAGTTTGTATAACTTCTTATCAGTAATAGCAATTCTAATGGTCTGCGTCACCGTCCCTGAGTATAACTTTTTTTTAAAGTAGAGTTACAATCAGTAGTAGGAAGTGTAACGTTGCTTATATTACATTATTTGGCGATGCATCACTAAGTGCATTATATTAATTAATCTTATTGACATGAGAATTCAGCCCAGGAAATCAGCACCAAGTGAATTATGCTCATTATAATCCTGTTGAAATGAGAATTGAACCGAGACATGCATCACTAAGTGGATTATGTAAAAAGAAATGTCAATCGTGTAACATTGTGATAATTTAATTTGTTATTAGGCCCCATAGTTTATAAGGTGCTGTTTCCCAGCAATATTCAATATAAGGTGTTGTCTCCTAGCTATATCCACTCTCCCTCTTGTGACTGGAAAAGGGCCGTTTTGCCAAGATATCACCTGTTATATATATTTTAACGCAGTGTCATTGACAAACGTGTTGAATAATTCTGCATTAGATTCACCAGTAGATGGTAATTTCAGTGTTGTCGCAGTTAAATGCTTAAATATTGTGATTGCAATGGTTAATTGATATTCTGTCTGTTATTGTGCGCTACAAACCCAGCGTCTCGAGTTCGATTCCCGCTCATGGCTAACACCGATGATGATTATCTGAACTGGTCATAAACGGGGGGACTGGCTGTATCGCCAATTTTAAATGCAGATATAAATTTTGCTCCATGGTTGTTTTGTGCAGTCATTGGTGAGCTGAAACCATAAATTCGCTGCACGTGAAAACCCAGTTTCATTGCAGGGAGCCGAAACTCGGATTCCAGGCCAGCATCTGAGCAGTGCCAGCTCAGCACCGACCTCTGACCCGCCCGGCCACCCCTATGTTAAATATTTCTCCGAAGGCAGTGTTAACCATGCAGCTTCTCTCCGCTCCGCCCCCTCCCTCCTTCCCTCCTTGCGTGCACAGCGCACGTCTTTCCCTCTCTCTCTCTCTCTCTCACGCGCGCTGCCGGCGTTTACCGGCGCTGTCGCGATGAGCCAGCTACGCTACCGCAAGCCGCACAGGGAGCAGGGCAACGGGCGGCGGCACAACGATGACGTTCGGCACGGAGCGCCGCCGACCGGAACGGACAAACGAGGTGAGGACCCCTTCGTCGAGAGCGAAACCCGGGAGAGGCTTGACGGAGAGACGAGAGGCGGTAGCGCGGCTCAAACCACTGAGCGCAACCGTGGGGGCCGGCTATGGCAAAGTGCCAACAGCCCCGTCCGCTGCCCGTAATATTTCCTTTTATATCGGCGGACGTCGGGAGTACTTCTAACGCCCGGCAAGGGTAAATGTACTCCTGACGTGGTTTCTAAATGGCGTCTGAGAAACGGTCGTTTTGAGACTGTCCTAGCCTCTGCGGATGGCGAGGGCGAATTAAAAATTCCACCGCTCTGGGATTAGAGGCTCCTTTGTGAGGCTTTGTCACCATGGGGACTTTGAAGACAAAGTGAGTGTCAGCCCTCGCGCTATGCGCCGCCAGCGCAGGACTTTTGTCCGGAGGGGGCCGTCTCGTTGCATGATGCGCTGCGAGCGTGAGGCCCTGTGAAATCTCCGGCCCCACTCTGTACATGCGTACGTGTGTATGTAAGTGTGTACGCGAGTGAGTGTGAGAGTGCTGTTGGCCACCCACCACCCCGTGTGCTGTGTCGGCCTTCATAGGTGCTCGCTTACAGCACTTGCCCCAACAATCTGTTAAATCTATACGGGGGATCTTTGCCTTTGTGTGTAGGAGTGATTGTATCGTAGTTAGCACCATTAACGATTATCTGAACCGGTCCTAGGCCTCCCCTCGGTCGACTCAGCCTCAGATCAATACCTGATGCGGTGTATTACCATTGCGGCCAGGCCGACAAATGTGGCTGGGCATGGTGCTGGCCACCCACTCCCTTGTGTACCATGCCAGCCTGCATAGGTACTCGCTAACAGTTCTTGTACCTACAGTCTGTTAAGGTTATACAGGGGATCCTTGATCGTGAATAATCCACTCTGATGCTAACCCGGTGACCCAAGTGTGAAACATGCTCGCAGATAATATCGGTGATTAACTTTTGAACCATTCCTGGGCCTCCCCTAGGTCGACTCAAATGAGTACCTGATATTGTATATAAATATTACCGCTGCGGAGACAAAGGCCCGATGGCTGTGGTGCTGGCCACCCACATCACTTGTGCCATGCTGGACTTAATAGGTGCTCATTAACAGTACTTGACCCAATGGTGTGTTAAGGCTACACGGGGGATCTTTGTCGTATTTCCCCACCCAGATGGGGCGATGGTGTCGAAAAAGCGGACGCTGGGGCTAGTACTCGGCTGCCTGGTGGGAATCGCTTCAGGGCTGTGCCATGCCAAGTACCTGGACACGCTGCACGAGAATGAGCTCTGGTTCTCCAACATTCAGGTTGGTGCACTTACAATTACTCATCCTGCTTTATTTCATGACTGTTGGCAATCGAGTCCAGGAATGGTCCAGTTCAAGCACAAGGTCAGCTCTAGGATCCGGGTTCGTGTCCCCACATTCCATAAGCTATGAGGCTACGTTGGCTCACCTCCCCCCAAATCGCACCTCCAATTAGCACAGTTAGCTATGTACGGTGGGAAAGAAGTTCAACATACGTACATACAAATGGTTGTGGCGTCACAGCGTGAGAGTCTCACTTCGGTATTGAACCCACGAGCTCGCGACGCGTCGCCCCTTTTGAAAGTGAGCCATGTGGCGTGGTGTAAGTGCCACCCGGCCTGGTGAGAGTTCGCTTGGCCTGGTGAGGCTGCCGTGTGATTTGAGGCCAAGAGCACTCTCCCGCTTTGTGAACGTGACATGAGCATGCCGCATAGGTGATAGGTCGCACCCAGTTAGGGTTGCAGGGTAATGCAGGCTCTCGGACCCAGCCCAGTGCCAGCAGCAAACCAGTACGGGTTCTCACTGACCATGCCATCTCAGATCATCTCTTGAGAACCCCTCTCTTCCACGTTGGCCATACGTTTTTTAAAGAGGTGGGTGGGGAGTCCCCACATTTCACCCCACTGGCCATGCAAATGGTACAGCACCCTTGCACAAGCTGCGCCGCACGATGTCCTGGGGCTCACGGAGGTTTCCCTGCAGGAGGTGGAGCGTGAAATCTCGTTCAGGACAGAATGCGGCCTCTACTACTCCTACTACAAGCAGCTGCTGCAGGCGCCCTCCTTCCTGCAAGGTGAGACAGTGGCCTGGCGAGCGATGTGGCCAAAACCACCCCCGGTGAGCTCGTCCACATTGCAGAAGCTAAGCGGATGGAGCCTAGTTGGAAGCAGGATGAATGAACACTCCTGCAAAGTGGTTAGGAACTGGCAGTGCTGAGTATATGTACATTAGCTGTGTCTATTTAAAAACATCATCTGTCCCTGTATCTCTCTCTGTGGGTCAGTCTGGCTGTATGTATGTATAGCTCAACGAAGTGACTTATCAAGTGGAAATGTATAGCAGCCAAATACCCTAAACTCGTGATGTTGATTCTAAATGTGGAGTCAAAAACTGGAGGACTTGGAGAAAAATCCACATGACCACAGGGATTACATGCAAACTCCAAATATACAGGCGTCAGGGTTGGGGTCGAACCCACAACCTCCTGCATGCCAGGTGAGCTAGTTAACATCTCGTGACCGTGGCACCCCAGATGTGAAATGCGCGCACGGTTTCACTTGTAACCGGTGAAAGCCTCTGCTTCCCTTCTATCAGCTTTAGCATCACTCTCCATGGCAGCTGCCTTATTTCATCCAATGATGGGGAATGTGTTTTTTTAAGCGCTCGGCATGAGATTTCGAGAAACGTTGAACTTTAGGCTGAGCCTGCCTTATGACTGAAACCAAGGGACTGTGAAACTATGATCGGGATCAAAGCCATGATCTCCAGCATACCAGGCGAGGTAGTTAACATCTACCACCATGGCACCCAATCGCGTGCGGTGGGATGATCGTGCGCCGTGGCCGTGGCTGCTGCTGCTGTTGTTGCCAGGCATTCGTGAGCTGGTCTACGACAATCGCACTGAGTCGCTTCGGACCATCAATCTCCTGCAGCGCATGAACATCTACCAGGAGGTCATTATGGGCCTCCTGTACTGCGCCCTTCCCCTCCAGGTGAGACCTAGGACCAAGTCAACAAAATCAGCTCGTCCGATCTCACAAGCGAAGCAGTGGTTTAGGTTGCTGTTGTGGGCAGCAGATGGCATTTCAGCGAAAAATCCATTGTTGTAATGTACATCTATGCTCCCCGCCTTCACCAACGCGTACTGCCAGCATGGTGAAGTACGGTTAAATAACCCCATGGTGTGGGGAGGCCCTCGTCCGGCGATGATGTTCGAATGTTGCACTAAGCTAATTGAGTGAACAAAATTGTACCAACTGGAGCAGTAAGAGAATGTGAACGTATACAAGCGAGACGATGAAACAGAACGAGATCAGTTTCGATTCTTGCATAAGATTTTGACCCCGAACCGCGACAAATCATCAAATCACCGGGCGTGGGAAACATCGTAACGGCGTGTGCTCACACATAGCCTACAAACGCCAAACTCGTGCGTCCGTTTACACAGGCGCTCTTACAAGTCAAAACCCAAACAAAATGGACGCTCCCTTTAACGACCTGGCTTGCCGGCTTGTTTCAGTTTATTCCAGCTCGCTATTGGCTGTTCACCGGTGTGGTGATGAGTTTATTGGACTTTTCTTGTGTACAAAGACAAAGGAAAATATACCCCGTGTAGCCTTAACAGACTATTGAGGCAAGTGCTATTAGCGAGCACCTATGAAAGCCGGCATGGCACACGAGTGGGTGGGTGGTCAGCACCACGCCCAACCACACTTGTCCCCCAAGTGGCAATGTTAACACACCGCACCAGGTACTCATTTGAGGCTGAGTCGACCTACAGTATGTATTTTGAACATCTTTCCCACTGTACATAGCCAACCGTGCTAATCAGAGGTGCAGGGAAAGGACAACAAACTAAACACAAAAGCAGTTATAAAGAAATGAGTTTTCAATATATATTTAAAAGTGCATAGCTCCAGTGACTTCCTAATATCGGAAGAAAGAGTGTTCCAGAGGGCCACAGAAACGCATTTGAAAGCGCGCGATGCAGTGACCGTCTTTGTTTGATGGTGAGCCAAAAGCCGCTGCTGTGAGGATGACCGGACCTAGACAAAGCCACACACACCTTGTACGTGCGTCCATTTACACACGTATTCGTACAGTAATTATTGCCACGACCTTACCGGTCCGTCCTTGAGCTCTACTGTGTTGTTCTGCTACCGCCCCCCATCCCTCCCCCCCTGCAGGGTTGGATTGAGCCCGTCTACTTCTACATCCACGCGGTGTTCCAACTACAAGGCCTCTATGTGGTGGCGCTGCACGTCACCGCCTGGTTGCTCAGCGGCACGTGGTTGGCGGGCCTTCTGGCCGCCACGTGGTTCACCGTCAACAGGTGAGGGAACGATTCCCCTTCAGCGTGCGTTCAGGCCGTGCAGCCGAATGTTGTTTGTCTTCACCAAGAAGAAGCTTCTCAAGAGCGTGGAGTGAAACTTCGGACGTTGTGGCGAACATATGCGTGGTACAACCCCTGGAAACACCGTTGGGAGAGCGATCGCAGCGCGACCGTGAAAACCCCCCACAGTCGATGAGAGTTATTGTAAATGGGCCGGCTACGTAAGTGACCGAGGTGGAGGCTCAGAGGGTGAAGCACTGAGCCAGTAACGCTGGGAGCCTAAGTGCGAATCCAGTCATCTGCCTGTGAGTATCTAGTTCAATCACAGGCAGCCACTACACTTGAGCAGATTCATACCTGTGGCTGCCATCCACCTTTGACTGACCTTTTACACTTCATGCCATATACTTTAACTGTTAACAATTTTTTTTATTTTCCCAGGTAAGGCTCACTGAGCAATGTAGCTCTTTTTCAGAAGTGATCTGGCTACAAATGATAGCTCAACGAAGTGGTTTATCACGTGGAGATTTATAACTTCAGCCAAATACTCTAAAAGCATGTTTCTAAATGTGGAGTGGAAAATCGGGGGACCCGGAGAAAAATCAACGTGGCCACGCAGAGAGGCATACAAACTGCACATATACAGGTGTCAGGGTCGGGATCGAACCCACGACTTCCTGTATACCAGGCGAGGTAGTTGATAACTCGCCACCGTGGCACCTTAACTCACCACTGTGAGTTGCTAAGGTGGCTTATATTGTATCAGATCACCGAGCCAGTAATACTGAGAGCCTGGTTTCGATCCCAAGTTTAAGCCACCGATGATTAAAACAGCTTCTCAAGTGTAGTGAGTTGATGATTCCAGCAAAGTCACCAATGACCGCACACATTTAAGTTTTGTCCTGCACTTAATTTGGCTAAAACTCAACCTTTGGGAACAAAAAGTATTTTTTTTTGGTTCGGCCACTTGGTCGTTTTATGCCAAAATTCTTGCCATTAACCCTCGACTATCCAACATGTTTTTCACGTTTGCGAAGATATGTTATGCATGCCAATGCTTTGATTACATTCTAACCAATAAAGCTCCTCACCGGTGATCAATACATTGGTCACAGGTGTGAACGATATCTTTGAAAGTGTGACAACCTTGTCGCGTGGCGGAAGGGTTAATGACGATTATTTTTGCATAAATCTAAGACCACGTGGCCTAACCAAAAAACAAACGTGGATGAACACACACCGGTGAGAAATAATAAGGCCATGGCACTAATACTGCGTGGCGGGGCGGACGGTGGTGGCTCATCTCCCACAGGCTGGACACGACCAGGGCGGAGTTCACCGTCTCCCTTCGCGAGAACTGGGCCCTGCCGTTCCTCGCCTGCCAGGTGGCCGCCGTCACCTGCTATCTGCGGCCCAACCTCAAGCTCCGGCAGGAGGTAAAGTACGGCCACCGCACCACCCTGAGCGGACGGTAGGCCTGTGGCGATATGCACCCTCGTGTGGAATGTTGACGTCCTGCAACGTGATTGTTGGACACTATGATTGGAAGGAAACTTTCGGAATAGTATTTTAATAAACGCGTGTGTAATGGTTTACATTTAATTGGTCGTTCTTGTGAGATCATTATTCACTGTGCTATGCACCTGATGACCATAGTTTAATTCCCACTCACAGCCATTGAGTACTTTGTGCGATAACATCAGCACTGGGGAGACAAATGTGGTCAGGCATGGTGCTGGCCTCCCACCACTTCGTGTGCTGCGCCGACTTTAAGACGTGCTCGCTAAAAGCACTTTCCCTAACAGTCTGTTAAAGGTTACACGGCGGATGCGCGTGTGTGGTTAGCGCGCTTTGCTACGAACCCAGCGACCGGAGTTTGATTCCCGCTCATGGGCACTAACACCGGTGATGATTTTTTGAAACTGTCCTGGGCCTCCCCTAGGTCGACTCAGCCTTAAATGGGTACCTGGAGTAGTGCGTGCATACGTGCGTATGTGTGTACGTGCTTGTGTGTGGGCGTGGTGCTGGCCACCCACCCCCTCGTGCACCGTGCTGTCCTTCATAGGTGCTCGCTTTTGGCTTACCATCGAACAAAGATCGTAGTCACTGCATCGTGTGCTTTCAGATCAGCTTTTGTGGCCATCTGGAACGCTCTTCTGATATTAAGAAGCCACTGGAGCTATGCACTTTAGAACTGCTTTTTGTGTTTAGTTTGTTGTCCTTCCCCCCGCAGCTTCGATTAATTAGCACGGTTGGCTACGTACGGTGCCAAAGAAGTTCAACATACACACAAAGATCGCCTGTATAGCCTTAATAACTGTTGGGACAAGTGCTCTTAGCGAGCACGTATGAAGGCCGGCATGGCACACGAGGCGGTGGGTGGCCAGCACCACGCCCGCCTACCTTTATAACCCCAGTGGCGATGTTTGCGCACTGGTTCTACACACTGTACATATATACATGCTAACAGCACTTTCCTCAACAGTCTATTGAGGCTATAAGGGGGATCTTTGTTTTTGTCTTTGTGTGCCCAGAGGCCGGTGCTCGCTGCAGTGTGGCTCAGCACCTTCGTCTTTAGCCTTGCGTGGCAGTTCAACCAGTTTGTGCTGCTCATACAGGCGCTGGCACTCTATGGTCTACGCTGCCTGCAGCTCGCGCCCGCACGCAAGGCACGTGAAACCACCCTTCGCACATCATCACCATCATCATCACCGTTATCGTCAGCATCGTCACCATCATCATCATGGATAGCCATCGAACAATGGTGGCAAATGCATAGCGCACTTTCAGATGCGCTTTTGCGGCCGTCTGGAACACTCTTCCTTCCGACGTCATGAAGCCACTGGGGCTCAGCACTTTCAAATCATCTTAGATTGAAAACTCATTTCTTTAGAACTGCTTTTCATGTTTAGTTTGTTGTCCTTCCCCCACACCTTATATTAGCACGATTGGCTACGTACGGTGTGAAAGAAGTTCAACGTACATACGTATATCATCACCATTATCGTTATCGTCATCATCGTCACCATCGTCATGGACGTCGTCTTCATCACCATTTTCAGCATCACTGTCATCTTCGTCATCATCACATTATCGTAATTATTATTGTCACCACCGTCGTCATAATGGACATCATCATTGTCATCATAGTTATCCTCATCATAATCGTCATTACCATCATCATCACCATGGTCATCATGGTCATTGTCATCATCATCATCGTTATCACCTTCACCATCATCATTATCACCTCCATAACCGATCCTAGCGGTCGAGTTTGCTTTGTTCTTGCTGTATTGTTTAAATAAAAAGGAAGACGAATCATGCATATGCATGGATTCTGTGACGTATTCCAACATCATCTTCAGCTACGGTATATTGGGGAGTGAAACTCTGGGATGTGGGAAGTGAAACTCGCTGACCGATACGTGTGTGTGTGTGTCTCTTCATAGGTGATCACTAACAGCATTTGCTCTTAAAGTCTGAGAAGGCTATGCAGGGGATATTTGTCTTTGTGTCTAGGGAGCGGTAGTGCAGTGGTTCGCGCCCTATCTTATAAACACAGCGACGCGAGCTCACGACCAACACCAGTGATGATTATCTGAACCGGTCCTGGGCCTCCTCCCCTAAGTCAACTCAGCCTAAAATGAGAGACAAAGGCGGACGGGTGTGGTGCCAGCCACCGACCCCCTCATGTGCCGTGCCGGCCTTCGTGGTGCTGCTCACTAACAGCACTTGCCCGAAAAGTCTGTTAAGGCTATATGGGGCTTTTTGCATTTGTGTGTAAGTGCGCGTGGTGTAGACGAATTTATAGTGGGGAGCAGAGGTGGAGCGGTTAGTGTGCTACAATTGCAGCATCCTGCGTGCAATTGATTATCTACCCCAGGAAGGCCTCACTCGCCGAGTCTCAAGCCTCGTCAGGGGGGTGCTGCTGCATCGGGGGATGACCTTCGTGTTTGTCCGTGCGCCGGGGTACAGGTCGACTGGGTGCTTGCGGGCCAGACGGTGTCCATGCTGCTCGTGTGCCTGCTACAGTTCCTCAATCCCATGATCCTTGGTTCACTCACGCTCAGCTTCCTGCTGGCCACCTTCCTGGCGAGGCGACTGCAGGTAACAAACAATCGGCTGACCATTAACTTCCTTTGTATCCAAGTGCTGCGCTTTTACAGCTTCGGCTACGTATGTACGTATGTTAAACTTATTTCGCACCGTACGTAGAGCAACTGTGGTACTCGGAGGTGCAGGAGAAGGACAACAAAGCAAACACAATAAGCAGTTCTAAATAAATTAATTTTCAAATCTAGGTGATTTAAAAGTGCACAGGTCCACTGGCTTCCTAACATCGGAAGGAAGAGCATTGTTTTATTTTTTAAAGCGCCACATTCAAACTCACCAAGGTTAGAATACTATTTATTATTTGAACCTTGGGGTACGTATGTACATTGAACTTCTTTCGTAGACAATTGTGCTAATCCAACCATGCTAATCGGAGGTGCCAACCGTGCTAATCGGAGGTGCCAGCCGTGCTAATCGGAGGTGCCAATCGTGCTAATCGGAGGTGCTATATGATAGCAAAATGACTCCCCCCCCACCCCAGCCCCCCTGGGATCAGAACACTGTAAAGGGTTTGTGCGTCTTGCGACCTTGTTCACAATGGCTTGTGTCTATATGTAGGTAGAAGACTAAGTGGCTAACTCCCAACATGATAACAACTCTCAGCTAAACTTGCTGGGGGGGCTGTTAACTACCACAGCCAGCGGTGTTCAAATAATACCGCAGGGGTCAAAATACTCTCGTGGCCTTGCGGTGAGATGGCCAAGCGGTCGCGTTTTTGCCGTTTGTTGCAAGAGTTGAGGGTTCGAACGCGGCGGCCGTCTTGATTGATACAGCAGGTCTATTATGCGTGGAATACGCGTCGCCTGCTTCACATTGGATGTTAAAGACTCCGTGATGTCATTCACAAGAGTAGTCCATTGTGTGTTGGCACTGTGGTCCAAATTTGTCGAATTTGAAAATGATACCACAGCTTATCAAATTGTAATCTACGTAACAATCATACCCCCAACTTCGGAAACTTGGCAGGAACCCTCCTGCAAAAAAATCATGAGCCTCAAGTGAAACTTTCCCCGTGTACACGACTGAAATAAATAAAGAACTATTACTGCCAATTTGCAGCCGGACCTGGAAATGGGCGGGTTCTGGCGACGGATCTCCTGCCTCGCCCTTCACCTGCTCATCGTCACCTCTCTCACCTTGGCCATCAACTTTGGTGCCAAGGTACGACGGGCAGGGCCGGGTTAGCGCAAAACCTTCACGGGCCGCTGCCTGGGGCATCCGATTCTGTGATCCTCTAGAATCTGAATACAAATCCATGCCAAGACGCTGTACAGAAACTGCATGACATGCCCACCATCTTCTTCTGCTTATATTCTTCCGTACGGCTGCTGACATAGACGCAGAACAACAACTACAATTTCACATTCAAGTGGTCCAGCCAGATATCTGCTTCGAGAGTAGGGGAGTTTTTCGCCGTGATGTCTCCTTCGTATTTGCGGATCGGCGCTTTGTGTCGCTAGACATTGTACGGTCTGTTCTGGATATCCACAGTCGCACACTACTCCTGGATATTTTTTTATTTTCCATTTGTGCATCAGGTATCCGCATCTACTGCCATGGTTTGTGTGGTGGATGCGGTTTAAGGTGTACCATGACCATACATGCGCACCATGTAGACAGTGATATATATATACTAGAGAAGATGCAGTTGGTTATAGGCAGAAAAGAAGGGGGAGTTCTTGAGTCTTAAACAGGGGCAGGGAGTAGACAGCACGGATGGCTGGGGGAGGGCATTCCACATTGGGCAGCAGAGGAGAAACATGAGGAGAATCAGCAGAAGGAGAAGTTTATTTTCCAAGTAAAGTCCAATGAATTGTACAACTCCTCTTCAAGAAGCAAACTTCCCATCGAGCGGAGATTCCCCAAAAACGAATTGTTCCTCACACATAGGAATGGATATTTGTGAATACTGGTTTCCCTTCCGAATATTTGTAACCCCGGATGTAACACACTAATATTTTTTTTGCGTTTAAGTCAGTGTCCATTCATTTTTAACTAAAGCCTAAATCTTAAAGCCACTTCCCACTGGCGCCACGGTGGCGAGATGTTAGCTACCTCTCCTAGTGTACAGGAGGTTGTCGGTTATTTCCCGACCTTGACACGCGCTGTATATTTGGACTTTGCGTGTTTCTCTCTCCGTGGTTGTGTGGATTTTTCTCCAGGTCCTCCGGTTATTCCCCTCCACATTTAGAAACATGCGTTTAGAGAATGTTTTGTTATACCTTTCCACGTGATAAGCCACTTCGTTGAGCTATCACTTGTGGCCAGGTCGCTTCTGAAAAAGAGCTATATAGCTCAGTGGGCTTTACCTGATGAAATAAAATAAAAATTAGTTTAGTTTATTTGCTGTGAATAAGTTACTCAGATTGCTTTTAGCATAGGTTTATTGTTTCATACCTTCTGATCTGTCCTTTGTCTGAACCAATGTAGTGTCACCCAACCCTGATGGCAGGACTCTTGAGAGATGGCGACCGCTACGACCAGTGATTAAGACGAACTACAAAGTGGACGGAATATGCCTGAGAGCCAGAGCGATGACATCAAGTCACGTGCAGGAACTAGATCAAGTTTAAAGATTTATTGCGTTTAACTAATCGCTAACTCAATAGACCATGATATTGTCTATTTTGCAAGAGCGACCTGGGTCACCGAGAGGGATTGTTGAATCACGAGATCATGAGAGATGGTGACGACTATGTGTAGGCCTTCATCTAGCAGTGGATGTTTATATATACTACATTAAGGCCCACTGAGCTGTATAGCTCTTTTTCAGAAGTGACCTGGCTATCACAAATGATAGCTCAACGAAGTGGCTCAGCATGTGGACATTTATACAGCCACATACTCTAAACGCAAGTTGATTTTAAGTATGGAGGGAAAAACGGGAGGACCCGGAGAAAAATCCATGCAACCACGGGGAGAACATACAAATTCCACATATACATGCGCCAAGGTCGGGATAGAACCCACGACCTCTTGTACACCAGGCGAGGTGGTTAACATCTCACCACCGTGTGTGCCCGGCTCACAGGTGCTGCTGCAGCTGCAGTCAGATGAGCACATCTTCAAGTTCCTCAAGGCCAAGTTCGGTCTGGGTAACACCAGGTAATGCAGAGTGCACTTTTCATATTCCTGAGATAAGAACACATAGGTACCCATGCAACTTTGCCTGTGTGTGTGTGCCAGATCTAGCTCGTGGCCAACACCACTGACGATTATATGAACCGATTCTGGGCCTCGCCTAGGTCGACTCAGCTTCAGTTTGTTTATGCTGTACGGGTGATCACCGTCTTTTTACATGTGGTGCACCTGCCAGTGATCTCGGTTACTAAACCAACGTTCGTCAGTCCCATAACCTCTTTCCAAAAAACCTTCAACACTCTACGTAGCCTCGAAGTGCATCGATCTTGGCACAAGCACTGTGATTAGCACCTCCGATTAGCAAGGTTGGCTACGTACATTGCAAAAGAAGTTCACCATACATACGTACCGCCACTTAGCGGCAAGTGACGTTGATAGCGACTCCACCACCGCACGTGCCGTGCCGCCCTTAATAGACGCTCACGAACAGCACTTGCTCCAACAGTCTGTCAAAGCTGAGCGCGGGGGATCTTTGTGCGTGTCCACAGGGACTTTGATGCGAAGCTTTACCTGTGCGAGGATGCGTTTGGCTGGCTCCCGCCCGACACGTTCGTCCGCCTGTCCCGCACCGCCGTGTTCCCCGTCTACACGCTGGCACTCGCCGTCTGCGGGATTGGCGCCAGCGTCGCCGTCTTCAGAAAGCTCAGGTGCCCGCGACGGCCACGACAGTCGCTCTCGGGTGTGGGTAGGGTTCACGTGGCTGGGGCTGCTCTCCCCCCCCTTGCATTTCTATATATAGATTGCGCACGTGCCTGGTTAGCGCGCTGCCCTACGAACATAGCGACCCGCGTTCGATTCCCGCTTATGGCCACCAACACCAGTGACGATTATCTGAACCGGTCCTGGGCCTCCTCTAGGTCAACTCAGCCTCAAATGAGTACCTGGTGCAGTGTGTAAACTTAGCCACTGGCGTTACAAAGGCGTTTGGACGTGGTGCTGGCCACCCACCCCCTCTTGTACCGTGCTGGCCTTCATAGGTGCTGCTCGCTTTTGGCTAATCAAACAAAGACAGTCACCCCTTCACGTACATTCAGATGCGATTTTGCGGCCGTCTGGAACGCTCTTCCTTCCGATATGAAGAAGCCACTGCAGTTATGCACTTTTAATTCTAAATTTAAAACTCATTTCTTTAGTACGAATTTTCGTGTTTAGTTTGTTGTCCACCTCCGATTGGCATGGTTGGCTATGTGCAGTGCGAGAGAAGTTCAACATACATATGCAGTGTCCTCCTCGGTGTGTGTGGCACACACACTCAGTCGGAGACGAGGTAGTTGCAGGAGGCACCTTCTCTCTCTCTTTATTTCTATTGCACCAACTTCAGCCTCCTCTCTCGACCACGTTGCCGTACAGCCCGGTCTAGACACAACCCTGACCGCGTTGCGCCGACGGCGTCGACCGAGACAGCCAACTACTGTCCGGCCGTGCAATTATCGGACGAAGGCGGCGGAGACGGCAGCGACGACGAGACGAGTCCAGTCCCAGAACCGGCAGCCCGGAGCTCTCCGCTGCTTTTATCCTCCTCGGCGCGGCCTGGCTCCGCCCTGGCCGCAACTCCCTTCTCCAACCCACTAGCGGGTCCCAGGGGCCTCCCGATGAGGTCTTCCGTGATCCTTGCCCCAGTTCCTCCGCCCTGCCGGCACACACACCCATGTTTATGCTCGACGGCGTGAGTGCGCTAACTGTCCACCGCGGTTGCCGCTGCAGGACAGCAGTCGGCGCTGTGTCACTACACATAGAGTACAGTAAACCCTGCTCTCTGTCCGCAAGGGTTACGTTCTTGAAAACGCTCGCGGATACAGGAACCTCATTCCAATGTGAAAAATTAGGTCACGTATCTGGTAGGAGTGAATTTGGGGGAGTAAATTATTAATATTTAATAACAATTATAACTTTTATTTCGATTTAAAGCTTTCGTGACTGCAATGATTCATCTTCTTTGGTTCTTTCGGTAAAGTCACGTAGAATGAGAATAAAATAATAAATGGATAAAAGTAGTCCATCTATGTTCTGAAAAGAGGAGGGGGGAGACGAAAAATCAATGTATGCTGTCTGAAAGCCACTGTAAGCGTGAACAATCAATTAAGACATGAAATGGTTAATAAAATCTTTCTTTATAAATAAATAAACCGTTTAAAAATAAATTAATTAATGCAAACCGACACACCTGATGACGACCGTTTGTGTTATGGTCGAAACGTCGTGAGAATTTTTATTGTTTTATATATTTTATTATTTTATTGTTTCCCTTCAATGTGACTTTACCGAAAGAGCTAAGAATAACAATGATAACATTAAACAATTAAATAATTGTGAAGAACAATGTTCCTTTGAATTACCTTTGATGACGATGGAGGTGGTGGTGATGGTGATGAATTCAGGAGGATGACTCCTCGGGAGATGTGGGCGTTTGATAACAATACACAGTTATCATTTTAGCAATCTGGGGAGCGCTTACCGCAACGCTTTCCCTGATTAGCATTCGCCTTCTTTTTAATGGACTTCAAAGTCGACTCGTTTATATCAAAACGTATAAACGAGTCGACTGTAAGTGAAAATGCACATTTGCGAGTGCAGAGCGGGATTATTACCAGACTTGAGGACTAAGCGGGCAGCCGAGGGGGCGTGCCCAATTTTCACAGGCAGTCTCAAATGCAGTAACATTCTGCACGCACCTCCCCGGTCTCGTGGTCTGTAGGCACGTAGACGGGTCGCGAACACCGGGGTGCGGCCGGTCGTGAACAGGGAATGGGTATACATTTTAGTAGCTCATTATGCGAAACCCTCGAATGTCGTGCATAGCGGGGGTTCACTGTCCGTACGGTTCGTCTGAATCCTCGTGTGGTGCTGCGCGCAGAGGGCCTGGCGGCGACGAGATGCGCACGGCGACGGGCGCGAGGGACGTGTTCCTCCGTCCCGACCTCCTCTACAACCTGGCGCACACGCTGCTCTTCTTCCTGCTGGCGCTCTCCACCATGCGGTCCGACAACGAAGAGAGGCAACGGGGACACGGGCGTGCGCACGCGAGCCGCGTTTATTAGGGCGAGAGTGATGCCGTTCCACCATTGCTTTTTTGAGACGTTTAGGCGGCCGTGGGAAAGCAGGCCCTAGCCGTAGCTGGGCCGTTTCGAGCACGGCTCAATCCCGCTGCCACCGACTATCTGGGTTGATTGGGCAAAAGCATTAACTGGGCGGTGACACCCTTTTAACTGGCACAAAAAACTGACACCTTTATTCAAGGCATCATGTTTGCAATAACCACAACACAAGCAGTCAAAATGCAAACAAAAAGAGACAACTCTGATAATAATATGCACTGTCCTTGAATTTGATTGATTGTTGGACCAGAAGACGCCGAAAGGCGTCTTCTGGTCCAACACCAATGGAGACTAGGCTCTAAGAAAAGCTGTCTCGGGTGTGGACCAATCAAATTCAAGGACAGTGCATATTATTATCAGAGTTGTATTTTTTGTTTGCATTTTGACTGCTTGTGTTGTGGTTATTGCAAACATGATGCCTTGAATAAAGGTGTCAGTTTTTTGTGCCAGTTAAAAGGGTAAAACCTATTCCTATATCTTGTTTCTGGCAAAGGAGGTCTCATAATGGGCGGTGACAGTTGTGTGTACGTATGTTGAACTTCTTGCGTGCTGTACGTAGCCAACCATGCTAATCGGAGGTGCGGAGAAAGGACAACAAATATACCAGATACATTCTTTCACAATGATCACAATTAGCCATGACCAGGGGTTGGCAACCAACGGAACATTAATTCGATATTTCAAGGGCTCAATGCACCTCAGTAACGTCACGAAGCAGTCCTTAATGAGCTGCATGTGGCTGTGGAGCCGCAGGTTGCCAACCCCTGGCCATGACCAATCTACTGCTGGATGAAGGCACCCCCTCCCCCCCCACCACTAAGCCATCGTCATCTCTCGCGGTCCTGCGACGGCGCCTGCTGTGATTTAACGAGGCAGACGCTGTGCCCGCCGCAGGATGAAGTACCTGTGGACGTCGCACATGTGCGTCTTCGCGGCGTTCGCCGTGAGCGACACTGGACTTTGGGCGGCGACTGCGCAGGCACTGGGGAAAGCGCCCGAGAAGGTGCCCAGTTCTAACAACAACAACAACACAGCACACCCGACATTCGCCACAAAGTGGCGGTGACCTCACGACGCCTGTGCCAGGCCACATTTACTTTGAGGCCTCGTGAAGTGTCGAAGGCTCGCTGACAGGTCACGGGACAAACCCAGGTGCCATGGGTTAACTGAGATGACTGGCAGATGCATCAGCCGTGCCCCCTACTGTGCCAACTTTCTGCATTTTAGCCGCCCAGTTCTCACACACGCACGTGTACAAAGACAAAGATCTCCCATGTAGCCGACACAAGTTTCTGAGGCAAGTGCTGTTAACGAGCACCTATGAAGGCTGGTATGGCTTGCAAGGCGGTTGGTGTGGAGAACACCATGCCTGGCTTCCTTTGTCTCCCCAGTGCTGATGTTTACACAACGTACAAGATGTATGTACGTTGAACTTCTTTCGCACCGTACGTAGCCAACCGCGCTAATCAGAGGTGAGGGTATGTGTCTAACCGTCGACTCTTCTGTGTCCCGGAGCAGCTGAGCAAAGCGCGATACGTGGTGCCCGCCCTACTGCTGCTCTACACACTTGTGCAGGTGGGTTCATCCTCACAGCAGTGGCGACTTTTGGATAACTGTCGAACAAAGATGGTCACCGCATTGCGCGCTTTGAGACGCGCTTCCGCGGTCGTCTGAAATGCTCTCCCTTCTGATATTAGGAAGCCGCTAGAGCTATGTACTTTTAATAATACTTTCATTTTATATCGCATCGTTCATGTCAACAGCATCCCACAATGCTGTACATATTCTTGGTTCTTTCGGTAAAGTCACGTAGAAGGGAAACAATAAAATAATAAAAATATAAAGCAATAAAATTCTCACGACGTTTCGACTGCAACACAAGCAATCATCATCAGGTGTGAAAACCACAGTAAGAAAAATTTGAAAAAAGTGGCGTTTTTTTCTTAACGTTAGCACCACGGAGAGCGATTTGGCAGTTATTCAGATGGACGAGTCCATCTATGTTCGGAAAAGAGGAGGGGGGAGACGAAAAGAATGGATGTGGTCTGAAAGCCACCGTAAGCATGAACAATCAATTAAGACCCGAAATGGTTTGTCAAATCCTTCCAATGATTGCTAAGCCAGAATCCATCTTCTCGGTAGAAATTTTCTCTGTGTTTGTATATGTGGATAGCCTCATGAACGAATCTCTCATGGTAGATAACCTCTGTCTTGGAGAAGTCAATGTCATGTGAGCCCACTAAATTATAACAGTGATCTGCCACGGCCGAGGTGTTGGTCCTACCGTGTTTTAGGTCTGCTTTGTGTTCACGGATGCGGTCCGAGACATGTCGTTTGGTTTCTCGAATGTAACTACTACGTGACTTTACCGAAAGAACCAAGAATATGAATCCCTGCAGTCACAAAAGCTTTAAATAAAAATGTAATGCTGTACATCTTTTAAATCTGAATTGACAACTCATTCCTTCAGAACTTATTTTTGTGTTTAGTTTGTTGTCCTTCCCCCGCACCTCCGATGAGCATGGTTGGCTACGTACGGTGCGAAAGAAGTCCAACATACGTACGTAGATGATCAATCCAGTGAAATTCCAACAATGAGCTCTGTCGGACCGGTGACGTCGCGGGCAGTGTGTTTATTGTTGGAACGTAAACGAAGAAAAATTGTTCTGCATATAAAATAAATCAATGAAAGCCACACGAACGAGCTGAGCCGGGCGTAGCCGACTTGTGCCTATGATCTGGTGCTCTTGAAGGCGTAAGGGTTGGTGGATCGCATTTGGATTAAAATTATTTTAGTTTTATTAGTATATTTTTTGTTGTTTGTTTACCTTTCCTAGACTTTGCACTCCTATCGTGTTTTTGTACTGTTTGTTGTAACATTCTGACCCCGTGCCCCTACTGTACATCTGTAAAAAAAATAGCTTTATAGCTCATCGGATTCATCCTGTGTATGCACATCTGAGTCAGAATACATACAAGGATGGGGCTTCTTTTGTGGGCGACTCGAATTGTCAATTTTCATCGGCAAATCTCCCCCCCCCCCCACCGACTGTGCGAGTGCAGGCGGCGCCCAGGGTAAGGAGGGAGATGGGGGAGCTGCGAGAGTTCTACGACCCTGACACCGTGGACCTCATGAACTGGATTAAGTGAGTGGGAAGCTGGGAAGCTTTGTTATGTTGACACCCTTGACATTGTCGCAAATGAGATATTTCATCTGAATGGATTGTCGAAGTCAAAACGTTTAATAATTCATTAACTTATGAATGCCACACAATCATCGGAATGGTGACATTACTGGTTCAGAGCTGCGTCACCCCATCGATTTAGTCGTATCTTTTACTTAACCAGGATACAACATCAACCGATTGAAACACATCAAACAGCATCACCTCTCTTGCCAGGGCGATTTGGCTTTCATCAAGAACAATAAACGAGCGAATGATTCATGCATGTGTGTGGGAGCGGTGGCGCAGTGGTTAGCACACTGCACTATGAACCCGGCGGCGACCTGAGCTCGCATTCCCGGCCACGGCTAACATCAGTTGCGAGTTCGGTTCCATTTCACGACCAAAAACATTGATGAATATCTGAACCGGTCTTGGGCTTTCCCTAGGTCAACTCAGCATTAAATGAGTAACCGGTGCGGTATGTAAACAGCAGCACTGGGGTAATAACGGCTGCCGGGCACAGTGTCAACCACCCGCTGTGTCGGAATTCATAGGCGCCTGCTAGGAAGACTTTCCTTAACAATCGTGTCCAAGGCTATGCGGGGACTCTTTGTCTTTGGTGCGTGTGGGCACCAGGCAGGCCACACCCCCGGACGCAGTGTTTGCAGGCACCATGCAGCTGATGGCCGGCGTGAAGCTGTGCACGGGGCGGGTGCTCACCAACCACCCGCACTACGAGGACAAGACGCTGCGGGAGAGGACACTACAGGTACGCGAAGACCCTCCTCTCGCCTCCTTTCACCGCGCCCCCCCCCGTCCTGTCCCGTGAGGTCGTGGGTGGACGACCGCAACGTGGGACGGAGCGGACTACATCGGCTCTTGTGTGGCCGTGAGATGGATCGTGGCGATTACATCCAGAAGTCGTCGGAGGATCGTCGGAGATGGGCGAAAGCATTGGGAGGCCTTCATCCAGCAGTCGAGAGACAGTGGCTCTCGTGCGCTATCGCCAGTGACCCCCCCCCTGGCCCTCCCCCAACCATGCACCTGCCCCCACTGGTGGGCGGCAGTCAGAGTCATCACCCTGCTTCATGATTTTTGTCCGCTCGGCCATCGTTTAGAGTCATTTGGCTGCTCTAAATGTCCACGTGATGATAAGCCACTTTCATTGAGCTATCATTTTTGACCAAGTAGATTGGAAAAAAGAGATATATAGCTCAGTGGGCCTTACCTGGTAAAATCAAACAAAAAATTCGTAGTTTAGTTTAGACAAACTAATTTGGAAAGAATATTTGCGCAACTACTTCTGTTCACGAAATGACCGTGCTCATTGAACTACAGGGAGGGGCGGTGGGAATGTGAAACGATTGACAAATCAGACGCCGGTGGGGTGGAGCCAGTGAGCAGAACCGGAGAATACAAATTTACTCATTCCCACCCACCGGCTCGCCTACTTGTCCTGCTTGAGCCCAACAGAAATCCTGTTAACCGTCAGGTGTGTGCCCAGGTGTGTGACGGTTTATATTTCTTGATTTGTACCGGAGATGGCTTGCTGCTGGACATAAAACTTTACATTAAAACTAAGAGGCAAACAACCGTACACAAACGGATACACGAAGGAAAATGTGTTCTCAGACGAGCCCTAAAAACCTCGACTGATGGAGCGTCCCTAATGCTCTGGGACAAAGCCTTCCACAAACGAGGCGCCTGACTCCTGAGCGCTCCGTCACCCATTGAAGTCCACTCTCTGCTCCGCTATTTCGCCTCCTCGACGCCCACGGGAAAGGAGTTTCGCAACATGTGCCATCACCGCCCGCCCCCAGCGTATCGACCAACGGCCGTTGTCGTCCTGCGTTTGCGACCGTGGTCAAGGTGTACCAGGTGTACGCGCGGAGGTCTCCCGCGGAGGTGCACGCGATGCTGCTCTCGCTGGGCGCCCACTACGTCGTGCTGGAGGACAGCGTGTGCTACGAGCGGCGGCACGGGCGCGGCTGCCGCTTGCGCGACCTGCTGGACGTCGCCAACGGCCAGGTGCGCGTGCGCCAGCCGCCCGCTCACGCCGGTGCCGTGCCGGTGCCGTGCCGGTGCCGTGCCGGTGCCGTGCCCGCGTCACACCTGTGCCGCATCCATGCCACACTGGTTCTACACCGGTGCCACGCTGGTGCCACAACCGGTGCCGCCCTCCCGTCCTGCGTACCCACACACACAGAGGCAAACATCCCCCCTATAATCTTAACAGATTTTGGGGCAAGTGCTGTTAGCGAGCACCTATGAAGGCCAACATGCCACACGAGTGGGTGAGTGGCTGGCTTTGCCTTCCCAGTGGGGATGTTTTCACACTGCATCAAGTACTCATTTGAGGCAGAGTCGACCTAGGGGTGGCCCAGAACTGGTTTAGATAATTGTCACCGGTGTTGACCGTGAGCGGGAATCGAACTTGGGTCATCGACTTCGTAGCGCAGCACGCTAACCACTCCACTACCGCTCACCCTCACGAACTTGTACTAGCACGCACACTAACAGGCACGCACTAACATCCAGACGTATTCACTAACACTGACATGCATGCGCTCACTCGCATAGTGTCCAGGCTGAAACACCGATTTGACCCCAAGGTCTCAGCTACCTCTACACTGCATCATTAAAAATTGTGTCAAACTAAATGTCAAAGACAGTTATTTTTATTACACTTGTTTACCCGACAGCCCCTCCCTGAACGTCAAGATCTGTTTTTTCAAGAGGGTCCTGCCGAATAGTGGTGGGTGATGATTTCTGGGTATAATCCCAATTGAGTAATTCGTGAGTCATTTTTTTAAGTTCAACATTGCCCGAAGTCTCATGCTGAGCAGTTACAAAAAACATTTCCCATCATTGGATCAAGTAAGATGAGCACGGTTGGCTATGTACGGTGCAAAAGAAGTTCAACATACATAGATTGGCTTTTAATTAGGATGCTTTTATTACATGTTTATTACACTTTTAGTTCATTATAATGTGATGTTATTTTTGTTATGTATTATTCTTATTGTTTACAGTGTGTCGGTCCCTACATTTAGTCCTGTAAAGCACTTTGTATTGCATTCTTCGCACGAATTGTGCTATGTAAATATTTTTTTATTTGCTCTGATATATACAACTGTCACCTGCCAGTTAACGCTTTGGCCCAGCCAGCCCAGATAGTCACCGGAAGTGTAATCTGTGGCGGGGCGGGGGGCCTGGGTGACCGTGCAGGTGATGGAGGGAGAAGGCCCCAATGACGCTGATCTCACCGCGCCGACGCACGGCCGCTTCTGCCACGAGATCAAGGCACAGTCGCCGGCCTTTGCACGCCAATTCCGCGCCGTCTTCTCCAACAACACCTTCCACGTCTACCGGATTCTGCACCCTGCGACGCCGGGGCCAGACCAACCGGACTCCGTGGACCCGCGAGCCAAGCAACCGGACGAAAGTGGAGCTCGTACAGATCGCGTCGAGAGCCCGACGAGGACTCCCGGTTAACCACAAATTCATGCCAGACCCCATTCGACCATTTAACTGTTAAAGCAGGCCTGAGTGCGACACAGTTAAACCATTTAATCGTCCTGTGCCTGTTAAACGGTTTAACCGTGCTCGTTCAATGATTGATTAACCGTGCCGGACCCGCTGATCTGTTTAACCCTACTGGACCCGTTGATCTGTTTAGCCGTGCCGGACCGAGTCTTAGGAAGTGGCAGCCGCGGTTATGGTTGTTAAATACACCGGTGGCCGTGTCCCGCTGGGTATTTGTCCTGCTGGAGTTTTGTTTCTTTAGGCACGGAGGGAGGTGGTGGTGGGGACGGAGGGAGGGAGCGTCTGGCTCTTGCAACACCGTCACCCCGTGAGTCTGCAGGGGAAGTTGGGAACGTGACTGGTTTATGATGCAGTGTACGTTTAAATAAGATTCCTCAGCTCACAGTTTAATGCATTTCCACAATTCGAGGTCCTGTCTTTTGTACGGTCCATCATGGCTCGTCTCTTGTCGTCGCATACATTCCACTTGAGGTAAGAGTTTATTGTTTTTTTGTTTGCCTTTTGTCAATGCACTGCTGGATGAAGGCCTTTCCACACCATATAGGTCATGTAGATTATACCTATATATAGGTTATACCTATATATCTATATATTATCATACTTTACCATGATGGTCAGTGTGTCATCGTGAAGGTGTGAATTATAGTAAAAAGTACTGTGAATGTATGTACTGTATGTTGAACTTCTTTCACACTGTACATAGCCAACCGTGCAAATCGGAGGTGCGGAGGGAAGAACAACAAACTACACACAGAAAGCAGTTCTAAAGAAGTGAGTTTTCAATCTAGATTTAAAGGGGCATAGTTCCAAGTGGCTTCTTAATAATGGAAGAGCGTTCCAGACGGCCGCAGAAGTGCATCTGAAAGCGCGCAATGCGATGACCATCTTTGTTCGATGGTTAGCCAACAGCCGCTGCTGCGAGGATGACCACCGGAGTTTGCGTGATGATTGATCCTCCTTTACGAGATCAGCAAGGTATTGGTGGTTCATTTGTAGCAAGCACTTTGTAATGGGTGCGACCTTATGTAAAACAATACAAATTGCTATACTTCTTCCTACCGCATAGCCACTTTTTGCATGTAACTTGCATTAATTATGCAATTGAATTATTAAATGCACAAATCGATACAGTAAGAGCATAAGAATCAATCGTAAATCGGGCTCCTTTTCAGACCTCCACCCTTAATCCCCCAAACCCTTCCGCTGTCTTAAAATTGGGACTCATCGACACCTCACAGAATTAGAATCTTTATTTATCCTGGAGAAATCCGATGAGCTATGAAGCTCTTTTCACATTTGTTCAGCAGTCGCAGGTGTCCCACCATCTGCACGAATGTCACGCGCAAACGCTACTGTCCATTTTCAGTGATGCTCGAGTTGTTAGCGATACACTGGATTTTGCATGTCAGCAGCCTGCTTACCATTCACGTGGTTGATATATTTTATTGTTGAATTGGCTGAAATGAAGTTCTGGGGATTGTGCCGACGTCAGGCAGATGAGCTGGCCGCCCAGAAGTGGCCACCATCGGATGTCACCCGTCAATATTTGGGCCAAGGTCAAGGCTTTAATAATGGCTCTTCGAATACACATGCAGAATTGTGACTTTCAGTGATGCCAATAAAGTCAGCGATTATCTGCTCATAATCAGAGCATTTAGGTGGCGCTTATCTTCCCGTTTGCTGCTCTGCACCAGTGGCGGAAATTCCACATTTCAAAGGCAGGGGTGAGTTTCATTCATAGGACACCACTGTTGACTTACCACCACAAAGTGGTATTAATTGTATCGACCCCATAAGGATGATGGTTTGAGTCAACCCCCAACCAGGATTTGAACTGGCAACCCGATTTCTAGCTGCTCGCCATAGTGACTAACGTAATCTAATTTTGTTCTAATGAAGGAAAGAAAGCTGAAATTTCGCACAAATGCACCTCCGAATATATTTCGCCATTCCAGAAGTTGATATCTCTCTTAGAGCAGCATCAGGCTAATGTCTATATTATTCTAAGCCTCGTGTTAAACGGTCCCATGACTTCACTTATAAGGCAGCCTCAACCTAAAGTTCAACCTTCCTCTAAGTCTCATGGCTGAGCGCTTACAAAAAAACATTACCCATCATTGGATGAAGGCAGCTGTCATGGAGTGTGACGCTAAAGCTGATAGAGGGGAAGCAAAGGTTATCACCGGTTACAAATGTAACCATGCACGCATTTCACATTTAGGGTGCCACGGTGGCGATATGTTAACTACCTCGCCTGGTATGAAGGTTGTGCGTTCAACCCCGACCCTGACGCCTGTATAATTGCATGTTCTCCCTGTGGTCGTGTGGATTTTTGTCTGGGTCCACCGGATTTTCTCTCCACATTTAAAAAAAACATGCGTTTAGAGTATTTGGCTGCAATACATTTCCACGTGGTAAGCCACTTCGTTGATCTTTCATTATGGCCAGGTTGCTGTGCGCCTCACCTGATAAAATAATGTCTAATTTTAGATCATATCTGTATATGATTACAAAACCTCATCATTACAGAAAACTTGCTGCAAGCCAGAAAACATACTGTAGTTTCAACAACACGTAAAAATGTGCACTGAACGTGCAAAGGTTTGCGGCCGGTCTAGTGGTGGATCGGTCACACTTGCTCCATTGTCAATTGGTTTGGTGATACTGCTGCATTGGCAGCAGAGCGCAGGCACAGAAAACAACTCACATTCGTCAATAAGACTGGCCCTTAAGAGAAAGAGTATGTAATTGGTGACGCTTCAGGTAATGGTCCTTCAAAATAAATGGTTACTTGAGACAAGTTGATGACAACGTAGTTCTACAGGAACTGGTGTTTTTTGTACAATGTACGATGCGGAGTTTGTGTACATGCAGTACACGTGTTGTGTTGAGACGATATACACTTGATGTGAACCGTCAAACGAGGTCCATGATTATTTGGCAGTCGACTTAATCCCTAGGATCCAAGAGGAACTGAAAGTGCACTTCGAATTATATCTTCAAGTCATTGTTTTCATTGCACAAAGACAAAGATCCCCCGTATAGCCTTAACAGACTGTCAAGTGCTGTTAGTGAGCCAGCACCACGCCCGACCGCCTTTCTCTCCCAAGTGGCGATGTTTACACATCACACCAGGTACTCATTTGAGGTTGAGTCAACCTGGGGGAGGCCCAGTACTACTTCAAATATTCATCAATGGTGTTGGCCGTTAGAGGGAATCCAACTCGAGTCGCCGGGTTCATAACGCAGCGCGCTGACCGCTACGACACGACAGCTCCCCATTTCCCTGCACGCGCACACATGCGCACACAGGCACGCGAACATTTACCCGAGAGAATGTGCCAAGTGTTGCTCGTTAATTGTACGTCCACGAGGCGTTCACGTGTACCACTAGAGACGATGTCCGTTACGTTTGTGATTGTGATTAACGTTTAAAAAGGGTTGAATTTATAATTGCTTACGTCAACTATCCTTCATAGAGCGTGACCGCGACAAAAGACCCTTGGTGGGGGGGGGGCTGCTTTTTATATCGTGCCACACGCGTGCTGCTTTGCTGGTGTTCACGGTTCAGTTCATCAACGTTTTAGTTTAAATTTGTTCCCCTAAAACACGAGTTGTGTTCTTGAAGAACACAGTATTATGGAAAAATCGCGTTATATGGGGTAAAGCAGCCCGCGATAACACAAAGCAGCCCGCGATAACACGGGAGATGAGTAGCGTCTAAAAGCATCCAGTAGCATCCCACTGCCTTGTGCGATGCAATGCCGCAGCAGCCGTACGGCCGCCTATTCCTACTTGTGCGACGTAGTTTCGTTAACTCAATCGCGCGATATTCACTTCGCATCGTTATAAAAAAAAGTGTTCCCTAATATATTAATCGCATTGTACATCTAATTCGCGTTATGAAAATAACACGCAGCGTTACGGGAGAACACTGTAGTATCATTCCATTTACATTACATCCGACAAGACTGGATCGTGGATTTGCCAATTGCAGCTATTTTCAAGCACGTAACCCCCGCGATGGGAAAGGGTTTGCTGTGCCCTCCAGAGGGGCTCTCCATTATCTTTATTTAGACTGGAAGAATCCGATGAGCGATGAAGATCATTTTCATAGATGTCCGGTCGGCACAGGTCAGAAAGTTACACTTAATTTTCGCATGGCACATGGGAGAGTACTGTGCCGAGTGTGAATAGGTCAATTGCTGAGCTCACAGAAGTGGTTCTGCTAGAGTTTGAGTGGATTATATTAAGTCTCAAGACATGACACCGGTAGCACAACTGGAATGAAATAAAAGACAACACGAATAAAATCCACAGTAAATGAAAGCTCTGTACAACAGCGGTATGAAGAGAATGGGGTAACTCAAGAAAATTAAGAACAACCTTGACGCATCTTACATTTATTTTTGAACGTTACACACTTTGCGGGAAACAATTGTACAAGTTTACATGTCTGTTAAAAAAAAAACTTTAATCCTATTCCACGGAACACGTTTGTACATCGGCAAAAATACAGGAGCCAAACTCCGATATAAATTAGCACCATGCTTCATTTCAAGTTCACAATCGCCGCAAGGCATTTTGCCAGTTGGTTGTTCGCAACGGCATCACGAACCATACAAATATATATTGACTCCCAAAACGCATTTCATTTAATTAAATATAAAACAGCCGACAATGCTCTGGAATCTCTCGCACAAAAACCTCATGTTAAAATGAATGTCTCGGAGCACAACAAACACAAAACAAACCACACATTTCAGATTTAATAAGTTAGGTGATCCATTGGTATTTAGCGACACAGCCTTCCTTCCAGTGGTAGTCTCCATGATTCAAATCATCTCTGGGCAGTGCCGCGATTCTGGACATACATTTCAGAAACGTTAAATATATGGGTCATCATTAGTGTGTAATCATGAAGTGTGTAATCATGAAGTGGCTTTCAATTAGGCAGAGTGCGTCAGCCATTTACGGCTGCAATTTGAATAGAAATCATGCCCGCCTTTTACTAAAGGAGAGATGCTCATAAAATAGCCTCGGACGAACCTACTTTTTTATCCATACTGGAATGGCATTTTGGTGCACTCAATTGAGTGCACAAGGTATCGCACCATTGACTTTCTCCATAAAGAAACCGTATTTCCTAAAACTTAGCTGTCCATCCTGGTGTCGCTGCAATCATGAAGCGTCCTACTGCTTCCTTGAATTGGTTGGGGAAAAACACGTATAATTCAACTCTAACACTTTTCAAAGCTGTTGCTTTTCCCTCCTGCTAGACAATAAAAGCATTATTTCACACACCTATGTATTATTAGGATGACGGAGATATTTAAATTGTGGCCACGAGGGGGCGTTCTTTTGCGACACTAATTAAAACCCACTGGGCAGATTATGCAAACCTCGACTCGTTGACGGTCGCTGGTGGAGTTTTGAACAGACGTGGACCGTGTTTTTCCCGCCCTTTAAACCAGAAAGATGGCGAAGCAACCCGAAACAAACTGAGCAATGTGAATTTTATCATCATCCAAATGTCGTTATGACGATGTTATGACAAGGCTGGGCATGTACTCGTGCCCCCCCAGCCACCCTCCCACCGAGGCCAGCCCTGTCACGCCTCACACCCGGTCGCATCATTTGTAGTGAAGCATGCCCCACCAAGTCATTAATGCTGTCCTTCCACATCTGAAATACTTTACTTATACAAGAACGCAGATGGTCGCACATTAAGGCGCGGTCAGTTGCAACATTCTTTATGAATGTAAAAAAAAGACATACACAATTGGCTTTTCACGTAACACTTGAGCAGGAGCTCAAGTACATTTTTGTGCGTCGACTACTTTGCAATATGCGGCTTGGCTATGGAATTGCTGATGTTCTAAGGCATTTGGCTGATGATGGATACTAAACAGATGTGGTTACACCAGAGTTGTGGCAATGAAGTATTGCTTTAAGTTAGTGTGGGTGGCAAGGTTCAGAAAGACAAGGCCACTCTGGTACACGATTTGTTCACCTATTTTAATATCTTGCAGAGTTTATTACGGATATGATTAAGTCCTGCCGGATGAAGAACTCTAAGCCGTGTCGGTCATGGGGGTTGTGTGACCATACTTCACCATGGCTAGTCAGTGTAGGTTGAAGTCAGTTGACACATCAGTAGCAGTTCAGATGTCACTTGCCACTGGCGTTAGCAGTGGCCGGGAAAAGGTCTCAGGTTCACCAGATTGCACCACCACTGCACACTCTTATAACATCACTCATGTTAGCCGTTTATAATATATCAGAAAAAATATACACAAAATGTTAAGGCACATGTGTCCACCCTTGGAGTGGCATTAAGCAAACTGCAAACAATTCAACAAAGGAAAGGCAATAGCTGATTAAAGTCAATTAGGGTATCCCCTCGGTATTCATGAAATTGCTATCTGCGATTTTGGCTATCCATGAATCGCATCTGAAACTCGACTGCATCGAGAGATAAAAAGGAAAGTGATGAGGTAAAGTGATGATGCACAGCATCATCATAATTTAAGGTAAGTTCGTTTCTAAAGTATTCATATTTATCTCCTTTATGTTTGTAATATTCAATTTTTATTGTTGTGTTATGATTCATTTCATGTTTTTAAAAGTTTATTTATGTACTTAAGGTAATTCTTTAAAAATATAGGTTTTCGTCGGCCAATATCCGAGAAATTTGCTATTCACGAGCATCTCCAGAACGTATCCTTCGTCGCGAATAACAAGGGAATCCTGTATTACCTCGGCAGACACAATGAGCCTGTTAGGTAGATCTATTTAAAAGCACACAAGCGCGCACGCACACACACTGTCCCCTAGGTTCTCTCAATGTATTTAACATTGAGGCATTTCATTCAAGCGGGTGTCTCTACCCCAATACTGCAATGCATTTGGGAACTCCTGCAAAGGATTCACATTTGTGCGGTAGAGTTCGAAGCCCCCGGTTAGTGTTGGTCACTCCATCCTCCACCACCCCTCCAATATTATAAAACTAAAATAAAAATGTTATTTGACCAGGTAAGGCCCAGAGCTATGTAGCTCTTTTTCAGAAGTGACCAGGCCAAAAATGATAGCCCAACAAAGTGGCTTAGCATGTGAAAATGTAACGTATATACGTACCCCAGTCCATTGTCTAACATTAAAGCCATGTGACCAAAAAAAGCTGAATTCGCAGTAAAATCGCGGGGGGAGGGGGCGGCCAGCAACATCGGCATCAGTTCAGCGTTGAGCAAAGCCTCATGGTGGCCACTTCCTCCGGCAACGCGATGAGCAACTCGGCACTTCTTCTCTAGCTGCTTAGACGTGCCCTACCACCCCCGCCCCCCCAGCCGACTTCCCCCAGCCGGTACACACCTCCCGGGTCACACTTCTTGCACGCAACCACGCAGGCCACCGTAGAAGCAGCCGAGTTGGTGAGCGCAGGCCGGCCATCTCTCGACTTCTCTTTGCTGGTCTCATCCGCAGCGTCTTGCCGGCAGCGGTTGTCATCCAAGACCGATTCCCGAAAAAATATCCACGAGGTAGAGAACCCCAAGACACCCGTGACGACACCGGAGGATCGACGGCACCGCGCGTTACTTGTCATTGTGGGCATTGTGTGGTTCTCTGGGTCCTACCGGCTGCTCTTTCCCCCCCAGCCCCCACCCCCCCCTTTACTTCTGCCCGCTGTGCGGCGGGGTCAGGGTTCCAGCAGGCACTGGTGACTCCTGACTCTGCCGCAAGAGCTCCGCCTGCAGGGTCTGGGCCCGGTCCTGAAGCACAGGACAGCACCAGGGAGCGGGGGTTAAGGTTCGAACACGACACCGGGCAGAGGATGAGTGGGTGATAGGTGCGTGTATCTAAAGGGGGGTGCGGTAGTGTAGTGGTAGTGTCGCGGTTAGCGCATTGCGCTACGAACCCGCCTACACGAGTTCGATTCCTGCTAACGGCCAACACCAGTTACCATTATCTGAACCGGTCCTGGGCCTCGCCTAGGTCAACTCAGCCTTAAATGAGTACCTGGTGAGGTATGTTTAAATATCACAAAGAGATACAAAGGGGGCCAGGAATGGTGCTGGTCACCCAACTCATGTGCCGTGCCGGACTTTATAGGTGCTCGCTCAGCACTTGTCCTAACAACCTGGTAAAAGCTATACAGGGAATATTTATCTGTGTATGGTCAGATTTTGCAAGTGGCAGAACAGTGATTAGTGTTCTGCAACAGGATTTGAGTTCGATTCCCAGCCACGGCTGATATCAGTCGCAAATGATATTAGAATTTTGGCTGGTGGGGAGATGATCGTGATGCTGGTAAGGAGAATTACGGATTTAAGGATAAATATTTGCATTTGCATGGACGCTAAAATTTCTTAGCATCAGAAAGTATTTTCCATAATTGTATTTCTTTTTTTGTTGAGTTTGATGTCATTCCCCCGCCCCTCCGATTAGCACTGTTGGCTATGTACGGTGTGAAAGAAGTTCAACATACATCACATATCATCTCAAACATTCCGTCGCTTTGCTGCACATATGCTCTGGGAGAGAGCGCAGTGGGGGGAGAGGGGTAAGGGTGAGGGGTGGGGGGAACTCACCAGGTTTGCCAGGGCGCTGGTGTGCGTCTGGATGTTGTGCCAGTTATCGGAGGGGATGTGTGTGAAGCTGCGTGGCTGGGCTCGCCCGGCCTCGCGCACTGCCATGGCAAAGGGGACCATCCACCGCACGCACTCGCTCAGGTGTTCCCATCGTAGCCCTGCACATACAAACGATAAATCAATGTATTGGCGGTACAACGGTGAGCAGTAACCAAAAAAAGCACATTTTTCACAAAATGAATTTACCCACAATTCCCAACTGCAGTCAGAAAATCTTGTGGAGTGGTGCAGTCAGAAGACAAATGCTATAAGCGGTTCAACACGAAGCTCGAGTCTGTTGCCGTATAGCACCCAGCCTGATGACAATTGGCTCCGTGTCCCAAAGGCAGATTTGACTTGTGCCCAAGGCCGGACGGTTTCTCGATTTATTTCCTGGATAATTTCTTGGCGGACGGTGGCATCAAAAGATTATGGTGTCACACGTTTAAATGGGAAAGCAGCTGCTGAATCTAAGGCAACTTTTGATGGAGAGTCTGCAGCTCACTCGAGGGCAACAGCGACATCCTCAGACTGTTTTATGAGGACCGGTGTGTGTCATGTGACACCGGTGTACCGCCAGTAAGTCCAAATACACAACGCAGTGCGGGGGTTGACATAGCATCTACACAACAGACTGCACGTCCAGATGCTCAACCAATCGATCTTTATTTACGTGCCAATATCACGCTCAATAAAATGTGCATCGGTGTGCATTACAGCGGATTGGCAAAGGGGGTACAGGGCAACAGGAATGAGAAAATTAATCCGTCACGGCTAACAAAGTACAAATGTGTATGTATGTTGAACTTCTTTTGCACCGTATGTAGCCAACTGTGCTAATCGGAGGATTAAAATTGCAACCTCGCCCAAAATTAAGTGCAACCATGCTCACCAAATAGCAAAAAATGGAGGAAGTAAGTAAAAATAAATAGGACAATCAATCGTAGAAGAAATAGCTGTATTCATTTTGAAACAAGAAAAAAGGCACTCAAGTCATGGGCAGAGGAAAACAGGAATGTTTTGAGCCTGGACTGGAAAGAGGGCCTGGGAATTGTAGGGTCTCTATGCGAGTCCATACAATACCACGGAGATTTACGTGGCATCTAAATGTGACAGGTTACAAATATCCAGGTGCTTTACATCAATGACAATGGGAGGGGGATGGATAATCAGTATTTATATTGCAGGAGGAATCCAATGAGCTATAAAGCTCTTTGTTACAGATGTCCTGTAGGGGCAGGCCAGAACGTTACAAAAACACAATAGGAGTGCAAAGCATAGGAAATGTAACTCCTTCTCGCGGAGGCAAACTGCCCAAATCACAAAAAAAATATTTTACCAGGTAAAGCCCACTGAGCTATTAGCTTCTTCAGAAGCGACCTGGCCACAAATTATAGCTCAACACAGTGGCTTATCACGTGGAAATTTACAGCAGCTAAATAATTTAAATAATCTAAACGCATGATTATAAATGGGGAGGAAAAAAACCAGAGGATCTGGAGAAAAAATCCACGCGACCACAGGGAAAACATGCGAACTTGGAATATACAAGCATCAGGGTCAGGATCAACCCCCCGACCTTCTGCATCCCAGGTAAGGAAGAACACATCTCGCCACGGTGGCAAAGTTAAAATATTAAATGCCTTCTCAAAGAGTTTTTAGGCGAGACTTGAAGATTCCAACCGAACGGAACTCCGTGACAGCCCTCGGCATAGTTCAGGTGCCACTGAAGCCAAGGCCCGATCATCCATGCACTTGGGCTTCGTTCTGGGGATGCAGAGAAGATCTAAGTCTGTCGATCTCAGTCTGCCGTTCTTGTTGGAATGTAGGGGGCGCAGCAACTCCCGGATACACGGAGATGCGAGATCATTCAGGGCCTTTAATGTGAAGGAGGACCTTGAATTCAATGCGGACTTTAACCGGCAGCTCGTGAAGTGATGCAAGCAGAGGGGTGATATGTTCTGAAGGAGGAGTTCGGGTCAGGAACCTAGCAGCTGCATTTTTAACTGACTGAAGTCGACAAATTACATTACCAGAAATTCAGATAGTAAGGCATACAGGTGACCCTCGACTTGCGACCCACTGCTTTCACGACCTTTCTTATAGTAAATAAGCCCCCCACAGTAATGACAAGAACTCATATCTATGGCCAGCTAACGACTGCTACCGACGCCAAGTCGATCAGGCGCTACTTTGCTCTTCTGCCGTATGGGTAAGTACAGTATAGCCCGACAGTCTTCAGCTGCACCTAGAGCGAACGCATTTCTTTTGCAACGCTCTTCACTTTTTTGTAAAGTTTCTTCAAATTTCAAATGTTTTCACCTTTCGCTACACACATGCGGGAAATTACTTAAGGATTTTCAAATATAAGTGTTTGTTTTTACTTAATAAATGCTTTTAAAAGTTATGTTAAGTTACAATACATTTGTTAGGGTTATTTTCATTAATTCTCGTGTCAATTTTGGTATTTGTATGCAATGGGTTTCCAGGAACGGAACCCCAATGGAACCCCAATTCATAACATTGCGCCCATGGGAAATAAGGGTTCGACTTACAACGGCTCGACTTGCGACCGTTGTCCAGGAATCAATTAGGTCGTAGGTGCTGGGGTCGCCTGTATTTAAGCCAGACATGGGCAAAGTACGGCCCCCGGGCCGTACACGGCCCGTTGGGCTTTTTAATCCGGCCTGCCGAACTTGTCCAAATATTATTATTAAATTAAATTTTACCTTTCTCCTGTAATGCCCCCATTTCCCCATTAGATGGCGTACTTTGACCGGGAGTGTGGTGTATAGGGCTCGAAAGGGCACATTATCTCGCTATGCATTGTGGGCTGTCAGCGCCATTTTCAGGGTTTGTTTACATTGCTGAGTTAGATATGGTGCTCCCTTCACTGTTTCGCTTTGCCCTGTGAGCCCTTCTGTAAAATGAGCGGATCAAGGAAACGAAAAGTTGACAATGAGTGGCGAGTGTTTAACACGGAGTGGACGACAATATACTTTTTCACTGAAGTCCAATCGAAGGCTGTATGCCTGATATGCCGAGAAACTGTCGCAGTTTTTAAGGAGTACAACATCAGCCGTCACTTTGCTATGAAGCATGCTAACTACGCTAGCAAGCAGTCAACGCAAGAACGGGCGGCTACGGCTCAGAGGTTGGCGGCTAATTTACAGACTCAGCAACATTTTTTTCACTGACAAACTGCGATTCAAGAGTCAACTACCAAGGCAAGTTTTTTGGTGGCATTCGAAATAGCAAAGGCTAGCAAGCCTTTCTCCGAAGGCGAGTTTGTAAAAGAATGCATGGTACAGACAGCAGACATCTTGTGTCCGGAGATCAAAAGCAAATTTGAAAAAGTCAGTTTATCACGCAGGACTGTGACTCGCCGTGTGGAACTGATTGATGAAAATATAGCCGGCAAATTAAACAAAAAGTCTGATTCCCTTGAGTTATATTCACTAGCACTGGATGAAAGTACGGATGTAAAAGACACTGCTCAGCTCCTCATTTTTATCCGAGGCATTGACGACAGTATTGCGATAACAGAGGAGTTTTTGACCATGGAGTCCCTGAAAGGAACAACGCGGGGAGAGGACTTGTATAACCAGGTGTCTGCTGTCATCCAAAGAATGAAGCTACCTTGGAGTAAACTTGTCAATGCCACAACGGATGGATCGCCAAATTTAACTGGAAAAAATGTTGGGCTGCTGAAAAGAATCCAGAATAAAGTGAAAGAGGAAAACCCTGACCAGGATCTTAGTTTCCTTCACTGCATCATCAATCAGAAATCCCTGTGTAAGTCTGTATTGCAGCTTAATGATGTCGTGAATCCAGCCGTAAAACGTGTTAACTTTATACGAGCAAGGGGACTTCAGCACCATCAGTTTATTACGTTCCTGGAGGAAACTGATGCGGATCATCAGGACAGGCTGTACCACTCTCGTGTTCGCTGGTTAAGTTTGGGGAAAGTGTTACAACGAGTGTGGGAGCTGAAAGAGGACATCATCGCATTTTTGGAGTTGATGGGGAAATCTGATGAGTTCCCTGAGCTAAGCGACAAGAACTGGCTTAGTGACTTTGCGTTTGCTGTGGACATTTTCACACATGAATGAGCCGAATGTGAAACTGCAGGGGAAAGATCAGTTTGTTCACAACATGTACAAACATGTGAAAGCCTTCAAATCCAAGCTCACTTTGTCCTCCAGACAAATTGCGAACAAATCTTTCACTCATTTCCCCACACTTGCCATGCAGGCAGAGGCACCGCGAAACGCAAAAAAATACAGCAAATCACTGGAGAACCTGCACGGAGAATTCTGCCGTAGGTTCTCTGATTTCGAAAACATTGAACAGTCACTTCAGCTGGTGTCCTGTCCCCTGTCACAAGACTCTGAAAAAGCACCTAAGAAGCTGCAGTTGGAACTGATAGGTCTTCAGTCTGACTCCGTCCTAAAGGAGAAGTTCAACTCTGTTAAACTGAATGACTTTTATGCTTCACTTAACAGAGCCACGTTTCCAAACCTCCGGAGGACTGCACAGAAGATGCTGACTTTGTTTGACTCGACTTGTGTGAGCAGACATTCAGTGTCATGAACGCCAACAAAGCCCGTCACAGATCAATGTTAATGGATCAGCACCTCAGATCTATTCTGAAAATTGCCACAACCAAAATAACTCCAGACTTGGATGCACTGGCAAAAATGGGAGATCAACAACACTGTTCCCACTGAAACTGATGATGTGTTGCTGCAGCGAGGTTGGAGCCAAATCTCCGACACACAGCCTGCGTGGCTGCTCTAACCTGTTCATGTAGATAATAAAGAAGTTCAAGTGAGGTAACTGGTTTGGGCGCAGGCCTCAGATGTTTTCATGATGTTTGATCAGTCACGTTACGACATGTTTTTGTATTTTAAATTTTGATTTAAAGCTTTCGTGACTGCAGTAATTCATATTCTTAGTTTTTTCGGTAAAGTCACGTTTCTCTTCAACGTGACTTTACCGAAAAAAACTAAGAATATGTTTTTGTATGTTCATGTTCGTGCAATTTGTTAAATTGCCTTGCAAATAAATGCTTTGCTACCTGTTAAAGGCAAAATATCCTTTCATGTAATGATTTTTACATGTCATTTATATTAGTTCACACAAACACTCCATCCATCTGTTCCTGGCCCGGCCCCTCTGTCAAATTTTAGAACCCATTGTGGCCCGCGAGTCAAAACATTTGCCCACCCCTGATTTAAGCAGTCAAAGGCAGAAAAAAAAGGTCTTGAGGCAGGCATTGAACAGGGGCAGGGAGTCGACAGCAAGGCTGGCTACGGGAAGGGAGTTCCTCACTACAAGGGGTAGCACCATGACCCACACTTACCCGAGACTCTGTACACGAGCTCCAAGGAGGTGAAGTGGTAGAGGGCGGAGGCGGCGATGGTGCTGTATGTGAAATCCAGGCAACCCATGTCCAGCACGCACAGGTCCAGCAGCTGTAGTGAACGGACACACGCAAATGTAATGTGTACTTAAACTAACAATTTTTTATTTTACCAGGTGAGGCCCACTTAGCTACATAGCTCTTTTTCAGAAGCAACCTGGTCACAAATTATAGCTTAACGAAGTGGCTTATGCGAACATTGTTTAGCAGTCAAATACTCTACACATGTTTATAAATGTGGAGGGAAAAATCGGAGGACCCGGTGAAAAGTCCACGTGTCCACGGGGAGAACACGCAAACGCCAAATATACAGGCGTCAAGGTCAAGATCGAACCCACTAACTCCTGTATACCAGGCGAGTTAGTTTATTCAACCTTGCCAGCACCCCGGCGGTTACTGGTAGGTATTGCACATCGCTAGAAGGGATGAACGCCATTGGTCGAGACGAACGATGGAGAAACAAACATGCCCGATGATGTTGGAGAATGAGATTAAATCAGCTGGTGTGTAGGCGCTAGGGAGATTGTTACACCGCAGGACCGTGAGATATGGCGGACAGCTAGGAGAGGGGCCTTCATCGAGCAGAGGATAGACCATGCAGGACCACTCCAACTGGTCACTGATGTATTTACAAATGGCGTCCGTGTACAGGGTAGACACCCAAGAATTGTGCCCCAATGAACACTGCACCGTTGTTATGTGGGGCAGCCCACAATTCAAATTTGCAAAGCCAAAACAACCTGAACATGAAGCTGGCAATAGCAATCTCTTAATTCTAGGAGCAGGAATTCATCCAAGTTAAGTAAAAACTCAGATTTGATGACTAGCCTGAGAGTCATCAGTTCACTACACCTAAGAACTTGCTTTAAGTCACAGGCAACCGCTGAACCCCAGATTCAAACCCGGGCCTCTAAACAGCGCTCACCGCTCTGACCTCAAGCATGCGTCACGGCGAGAGTGTTGCGCGCTCTTACCTGGGAGATCTGCAGGAAGGTGTCCTGGCTGTATTGCGGGAGCAACATTTGGGAAGTATTCTTGAGGCAGGCGATTTGCAGGTACAGGCTGAGCCAGGAGATGATGCTCACGGGGCACAGGGCCCACTTGAGCGACTGCGAGGGGGACACGCACGCGCCGCAGCCAGGTATTCACACGTCTGTCTGCGTGCTCGATATATACGGCAAGCCCTCGCCGTATATATCATACTACAACGCGTTTGAGATATAGCGTGGTTCTTCCATTCAGGAACACTTCGCACGTGTCTGGTATAACACAGAAGGCATACCCTTTTATAAACCGGAACGCACTCCGTCATAACGAGGAACGTGCACCGTCATAACGAGGTTTGAGCGGTCGATGACAAACTACTGTCTTGTGCTGCGTGGCTGAGCGGTACAGTAATACAGTATTCGGACTGATACAATAACACGGCAGCATACCCGCAGTTATTTTCCCTGCCATCTCACTGTGTGTGCTTAGCACATCATATCTCGTCCAACTTTAATATTACATTATTTTGGGGGAAATTGCTTTCGCTTTACGCCTTTTTCGCTTAACGTGGAATTCTTCAGGAATGCATCCATCACTAAATACCAAAATGTAATCCCGAGTGTGCTACTGATGTCATGTCACAAGTTGGATAATCTATCCAAAACTCTCGCAAAGCATTGCAACAACCCTCTGCGATTCCTTCAAGTGACCTCTAGTGTCTGCAAGTACTTTGAGACTCACCCTGCAACCGAGAATGAAATTCATCGCAGGACAGATGAATATATATTCTAATAATCTCAGAAAATGAGAGCTACCTTTGCTGTGAAGTCAACAGTGGTTGTCCTGGAGAGTTTAGTGTGGTGTCCTTCCCCGTACCGCCGATTAGCACGGTTGGCTACGTATGGCTACGTATGGTATGAAAAAGGTTAAATACACACGGCTATAAATGGGAAATTACCCATCCCCAATGCAAATTTTTTACAGGAAAATCACTTTGACATTTAAAATGACATTTTAGCACTTGAAACACCACGGACGCAATTGCGAGCACATAGCATCATCACCGACGCTCATGAGGGATTGAGGTCATGTAAGCCAGAATGTGGAACATGGTCTCAGTACCTGCAGCATGTTAAGTTCCATGACAACGATGTCCTCCTCAGTACAAGCTCCGTCCGTCACGTAGGCGAATTCCGTCAGCTTGGGCGGGTAGATCTCCTGCAGTCGCAGTCACGTATGTATGTACATATATATGTTGAACTTCTTTAGCACCGTACATAGCCAACCGTACTGATCGGAGGCCACAAGGGGCCTCGCTAACAAAGACAGCGATCCACCCCCACCCCCATGTTGCCTGTACAAGACCGCTGGAGCAAGTGCTGTTTCGCCATCATCATGGTTACCAAATACTGGGTGGTCCAGATGTCTTGTGACCCACCAATTAATTGATCCAAACTATTTTTTTCCTTTTCATATCTGTTTTAAATGAACCCGCCTTAAAAAAATATTCAGTTTTAGATAGTTAAATGGGGGTCACAAGACATCTGGACCACCCTGTATATTGTGTGGGCGATCTGAAGAATCATATCTCATCAGAACCGACACCAAAGCACAAATTCGGACGACGTTGGGATACTCTCGCCAAATCCTGGGGAGCACCCAGCTCCTACTTCACTGTATTTGATAGAATTCAATGTAACGCAGTCTGGATGACTACTGACTGATTCACTCCCAATCACTCACCAGCGGCCAGTCTCCCACCTCATCACTCTTCTATTGCTAATGCTACCATGGTTATTGTTCCTGTGAACTTCACTCATTGATCCTCCCCCTCCCCCTATACTGAGGACTGAGTCTTAATCGTTTCATGTCATCTTTACGGTGTTGACCCACCATAATGCAGGTCACCACAACTTACTTGCTCAGCCACCATAACGAAGGTCACAACAACACACTAAATAATTCCTCCACCCATGTTGAACACTGTCAACCAGCAACGGTTTAATCTCATCCATGCTGTGTTGAACCATCACACTGCAGCTCACAACCCACTCACTGACCACACTCCAGCTCACAACACCACTTTCTGCTCCATTACTTCCACAGCACTGCTCGACTTTGGAATTCCCTGCCATCATCACGATTCCCAAGCTCTTATAGGCTTGCTAAAATTAAATAAACGTTTCAACTCTTAATTATTACAACTTCGATCATCCTATTTGTCGCTGGAAGTTCAGACATTTTGTTCGGGCCTTTAGGGCCTGTGCTCAGCAAATGGTGTTAAAACAAGCAAAACAATTGTGATTAAAAAAAAATACACACCTCCGTCTTGGCTGCGATGAAGAGTGCGGTGATGCCGATGAGCTGCAACTGAGACTTGCAGACATCCGTCTGGGTCGCAAGGAACCTGTCGAAGTAATCCAGCGCCAGGTACAAGGTCTCCCGGTGCAGGCGGTACACCTCACACACCTGGGGGGGAGGAGCGCAGGGTAAGGAGCGGTTTGCGCAGTGTTCTTGACTAAATTTCAGAGGGGGGCCGCTGTCGCCGATAGGACATCATCAGTGTGAGGGCTGCCATACATTTGAAACTATTGGGTTTGACAGCAGCATGATGGGGGCATTTGGGGCCGCACTAAAGGCCACCAGGGGCCGCGCTCGGGGGCCTTGCAAAGAAGAAAACTGGTCTCGGGTTAACCCGAGTTAACTCCCAAGATCTCACGGGGATGGGGCACATCACGGATGATTCGGTCGCAGGTTCCATCCTATGTATGAGGTTCACCTTTTCCCCATCAGCCCTACACGAACCGTGGCCACGTGGTGGTGACAACGGCGACTTCTGAAGCAGATCAGTGCTGGATACAGCAGTCACATTTGCAATTGTGATTTGTAACTTAACCTGTGTAATATCAATAGTTCAATATAAAAAAATGTGCCATTTTATCGAGAAACTGTGTGTTGTCTTGGTGTGGCCTGGAACTGTTTTGATGTTGTTTTTGCTATCTATCCCAATCTTTATAAATCGTGACTTTAATAATGAGCGTATTTATTATTTATTTCTATTTAGTGACTAGCTTACCGTTTTCTCTATTTGGCACTCCTATTGTGTTTTTGTATCGTTTGCCATTGTAACTTGCTGACCAGCCCAATCCTGGACATCTTTGAAAAAAGAGCTTCAAATAGCTCATCGGATTCTTCCCCCGGCCGAAATAAAGATTTTGATTCCGATGATTCCGCTCACCTCCATGAGCCAGTCGAGCAGCACGGCGCGCATCCTGGCCGTCAGGGCCGGGTGGCGGTCGAGGAAGTGGCGGTCCCGCTCGTGCGACTGCTCCTTCTGCAACAGGTTTGACCACACGTCCTCGGGGCAGGCCCAGCTGCAATGCAACGGCGCCACCGTAGCAGCCAACGGTTAGTGCAAGCGAATACTGGGGTGCCGCGTTGGCGAGATATTAACTGCCTCGCCTCGTATACAGATGGTTCGTAGGTTCGATCCTGATGCTGACAATGAGGAGTTTGCATGTTCTCCCTGCCCGTGGTCGCGTGCATTTTTCTCCAGGTACTCGGGTTTTTCCCTCCAAATTTAGAAACAACATGTGTTTAGAATATGTGGCTGCTATAAATTTCCACATAAGCCAATTCGTTGAGCTATCACTTACGGCTAGGTCACTTCGGAAAAAGAACTTAATATTAAAAAACTATTTTTATTTTACCAGGTAAGATATAGCTATTTTTCAGGAGAATGTATGTATGTTGAACTCATTTCGCGACATACATAGCCAACCGTGCTCATGAGAAGCGACCTAGCCACGACTGATAGTTCAATGAAGTGGCTTATCATGTGGACATTTTTAGCAGCGAAATACTCTAAACACATGTTTTGTCAAGAATCATAAACCATCGCGAGAACTCCGGTCATCCACACAGCTGCTTTTGGATAGCCATCGAACAAAGACGGTCACTGCATCGCGCGCTTTCAGATGCGCCTCTGCGGCCATCTTGAACGCTCTTCCTTCCGATGTTAGGAAGCCACTGAAGCTGTGAACTTTTCAATAATCTATATTGAAAACACATTTCTTTCCAACTGCTTTTCGTGTTTGTTGTCCTTCCTCCGTGCCTCAGATTAGCACTGTTGGCTACGTACGGTGCAAAAGAAGTTTAACATACATGTTTCTAAATGCGGAAGGAAAAACCGGAGGACCCGGAGAAAATTTCACGTGACCAAGGGAAGGACATGCAAATACCAAATATACAGCATGCATCAGGGCGGGATCGAACCCACGAGCTCCTGTATACCAGTCCGAGGTAGTGAACATCTCGCCCATTCCTGCTTTTTTTTTGGGATCAATAAAAAAAATCGGAGACATCCATTATATATACATATATTCGCCAATATGTTTTCCGTACCCGAGCACTGGCAGTGGCGAGGGTCGGTCCGGGAGCAGGGCAACGCTGGTGCCGCGGCTCTTGGAGAAATGCGGAAGATCGCGTGGCTCCTTGTCTGGCGTCACCAACGATTCGACGTCACGTAGCTCCAGCACCTGCTCGTCCAGCCGGCCAAGCTACGCGGCAAAACATGCGGCACAACCAGACCACATCAGTGCTCGTGCTCTGCTGCCGATGCCACCCTTAACAGAAAACGGGTTCTTGCGGATAACCACGCACGATATAGTTCCCTCCTCGCGAGGATAAGTTAAAAATCAGAACTAAATATTCGCACCGTTTTCCCAGTTACTCAACCATTGCAGTTGAGCCCGTGGATGTGAGTGAGCGAACAAGGCCCGTTACATCGCCTCGTCACAAACTCCAAGCCACGACAAGACTCTGCATGATGTCAGGAGCAAAATAATCTAAATAACTTTAATGCACGTTTCTAAATGTGGAGGGAACAACCAAAGGATCTGGAGAAAAAAATCCACGCGACCACGGGGAGAACATGCAAACTCCAAATATACAGGTATCGGGGGTCAGGATCGAACCCACGTTCGCCTGTATCCGAGGTGAGGAAGTTAACGTCACCACCGCGTCGGTCGCACACCTTAATCTCATGCAGATGCTTCCGATTGGTGCGTTGGTTGGGTGAGCGCACGTACAGAGGCGGCACATCTTCAGATTCCTGGCCAGGAGACAAGGAACACATGAAACAAAGACCCAGTGAGAAAGAGGACATTATGTACGTAAGTATGTTGAACTTCTTTCGTACCGTACGTAGCCAACCACACTAATCGAAGGTTCGGAGGAAAGACAACAAATTAAACACAAAAAACTGAGATTAATTAGTTTTCTAATATTTTTTTTTACATATACTAGGTAAAGGTGCAGCCTGTAATTGCATTCTAATGCCGCTGCTAGGTGCTTTGCCTCCACCTTTCCTATACTTTGCACTCCTATCAGGTGTTTGTATTGTTTGTTGTTGTAACTTTCTGACCCGCCCCTACAGGACATCTGTGACAAAGAGCTTCATAGCTCATCGGATTTTTCTATTCCAAAATAATATCATTGTATTCTAGAGTACAGCAAACTCTTGACCATCGTGGCGGTTACGTTCCCGAAAATAGCCGCAATTGGCAAATCCGCAAACTCAAGTAAGATAGGAAAACGAGGGTTCAGTTCATGGTTCATAATATGACACGTTCTTCTTTTGTTTTAAGTTACCCTACATCAACCCAAACGTTAAAACAGGAAGTATTTTGAATGTAAAATATGGTTCATATTTTCTCGCGTTAAATATAACTTGTGCGGTAAATGTATAGAATGAACAAAACATATCTATATACTGTACAATACTGTACACATATCCGTGTACAGTACTGTACATTACAAGAACAAAAATGATGTGGCTGCACCTCACTGTCTCCTCCTTACTGGGGACTGGGAACACCACGTGACCTGGGACCCACGATGGGTCGCATGGGAGACGAGATGGAGACAAAATGGCGCGCGTGTTCTTCCGGAGTGGCAGTATCATCGCGAGCAGTACAGTTGCGATGCGTGCAGGAATCTCGCGGTAAACCGCGAATGGGCTAGCCACACAGGGCACGATTTGCGAACTGTACCTAAATAATTTGGTGCAAAACTGTGATATGTATGTTGACCTTTCACACCGTACGTACCCAACCGTTCTAATCGGAGGTGCAGGGGAAGGACAAGCTAAATACAAAAAGCAGATCGAAAGAAATTCGTTTTCAATCTAGGTTTAAAAGTGCATACATAGCTCCAGTGGCTTCCTAATATCGGAAGGAAGAGCATTCCAGGTGGCCACATCACCACTATCACACCACCATCAACGTCAACTTCCCCCACTTACTCATCATGCAGGTACCTCAACATTACCACCATGAACATCATCACCACCAAGTGCGAGGGAAGGACAACACACTACATAAAGAGCTTGCCAATCATGGGTCTTCTCATTCTGCCACAATTTTCCTCATTTCTGTATCCCAAACTTAATATTGCTGAGGACGCGCCATGTCACAAAGCGTTCCATGCATACACGAGACGGTCGTGGTGCCTGTTGCCGGCACGCACGCTGCACCATAACCCAAGGTGGTACCGTAGTAACGCAGCACAGCGACGTGAAACGAGGAAAGAAGAAGCTGCCTAGTCACTCGGAGGTGGGGGGAGGAGGAAAGGATTTTATGTATTTGGTGTACTCTTCCAGGTTGGCCAGACATCTTGGGAGAGTTAGGAGGAGATACTTCAACCCACCACACTCAAATCTACCAATCGACTCTGGTATACCCATTTATACTGGCAGTTAACACAGAATCGGGGAATATAAGAATTGTTGTCCAACATTTCAATTAGCACACTGAGAAATTTGTTTACCTTGCCTATAATTTGCACTCCTAAAGTTCTGACCTACTCCTGCTGGACATCTGTGAAAAAGAGCTTCAGAACTCTTCGGATTCCTCCACTATAGATATTCTGATTCGGCCACCGAATCAGAGTCCAGTGTGTTAACTATTACATTGGCACAGTATCCACAGTTACCAGGGCACGATGAATATTCACACGGTGGGCACGAGTGACATGACCGGGAAAACGAGGTGTCTCTACCAGTATGTGGTGGGTATAACAGAGACTCAGTCGAGCTCTGGTTAGCTACGGTGGTAACCCACCGATCTAGCTCGCCTAACACTCGCCACGGCTTAACTACCCTACTCTCCTCCTCGAGTCCGAGTCCCCATGTGTAGCTCCTCTTCAGGCTCGGGGATCGTCCCTTTATCCCCCTGTGCAGGGCCTCCTCCACCCTCAGCCCCACCTCCTCTTCGGACCCATGGTAGGCTCCTCCTTAGCCCGGGGTTCCTTTAGCCCCCCCTCTGGGGGTCCTCTGGTGAGTCCCCCTTCTTGCCCCCCTTACCCTGGGGCTGGTACTGCATCCTGGCAGTACGTCACGTGGCGAGCCTTGGCCAGGTTAAGTCCCGCACACGGCGACATGCGACAATGTCGCTACAAGTACACCAGCTTGGAAAAAACCCCTTGCAAGGCATTCACTGGCTTCCACTTGCCTGGCACTTTCTCTTCCTCGTCCGCAGTACAAATGAGCCATTCTCATCGCTTCTCTCCCTCTTGGTCACCAGCCGACTGCTGCTTGGACAAAATGAAACAAACGACAATCACAGCAAAGTGTTAAAAGTTAAAAGAAATCAAGCGATTATATAAAACATTAAAAGTAAACTTTTTTTTATTTAACCAAGTATAGCCCACCGAGGCTTGTCGTGTGGAAATGTATACCAGCCAAACACTCTAAAACATATATTGCAGCCAAACAATCTAAAACATGTTCATTCTAAATGTGGAGGGGAAAGCCAGAGGACCCAGAGAAAAGTCCACACGACCACAGGGAAATACCATGAAAACTCAAAATATACAGCAAGCGTCAAGGTTGGGATCGAACCAACAACCTCATGTATACCAGGCGAGCTAGTTAACATCTCGTCACATCAGCACTTTAGAAATGGAATGCGTCAAGAGAGCAGCTCCCAAGGATATGGAGCAACGAAATAGGTTAATGTGCAGGTGGTTGGTGGATTGTTACATCGCCAGATTGGACGGGTTGGCGCCGTTTGGGGGAACCCTTATCAAACAGCGGATTGAATGTGTGATGATGGTATTCTCAAAATCGGATGGTGTAAGATGAAATGGGGAAGTCAATCGTGGTCCAACCAACTTCATTGCGGTACCAAAATAACTTTACTCCCATCTCTGACCACCGCCATCATTTAGTCCAAACAAGCAGTGGGTCTAAAACATTAAAATGGTTTAAATAAAACAAACAAATATTTTACATTTGGAAAAACCGAGATTAAATAAAATTAGAGTTCAAATGTTGTACAGCCGAACTTTATAAACATTATTAGTCCATCTCATCACCATGACCACCCCTCCATCCACCACATTAATTCTGAACAGCAGCCTGTGTAAACAGTAAGAAATAAAATACATTATTTAAAAGTTTTAAAAAGCGAGGCTAAATGCACCGAAAATCAAAATGTGGTCCCGACAATTTCAAATGAAACAATTACTCGACTTAAAGCTTTCGTGACTGCAGGAATTCATATTCTTTGGGTCTTTTGGTAAAGTCACGTAGGTAGGTTCAAAGAAAGTAGATAGGTTCAAAGAAAATAACCGAAAGACCCAAATAATATGAAACAATTACTCCATCTCACACCACCACGTCTTCCTCCATAACACACTACAAACGTGTAAACAGCAGAAGTGTGTGTAATTTTTGTTTTGCCAAATAAAAACGATTGCTTGCAAAAGTTGAAAGGCGCGAGTTTAAAATAAATCAGCAAAAAATACGTGGTCCCGCCGATGTCATGGAATTAGTCCATCCCACACAACCACTTCCCCTATCCTCACCACTCATCGGCCATTCCCTCAACAGGAGGCAACCAATAACGTAAAAAATCGATAGATTAACAAATTAAATATGAAGCAAAATACGCGATCCCGCCGAATTTCATGGGGTCCATCTCACCAATCACAACCAAAACAAAGATCCCCCGTACAGCCTGCAAAAGACTGTTGAGGCAAGTGTTGTTAGCACCTATTAAGGCCGGCATGGCACACGAGTGGCTGGGTGACCAGCACCACGCCCGAACGCCTTTGTCTCCCCAGTAGCGTTGTTCACACACCGACCGCATCAGGTACTCATTTGAGGCCGAGCCGACCTCCGGAAGGCCCAGGACCGGTTCAGATAATCGTCACTGTTGTTGGCCGTGAGCGGGAATCGAACTCGGGTGGCGGGGTTGGTTGCGCAGCCCGCTTAACTGATGCTCTACCGCTCCCCACACCCATCACAATCACCACCACCATCATCATCACCACCGTCCATCTCACCTCCTCCTGAGCATCTTCTTCGCGGCAGAATCCAGCTCAAAGCGGCTTTTGTCGCGGCGAAGTTGATTTGGGCTTTTCGTATTGTTTTAACCTGAGACACATAGCAACACACAAAAACCAAAAGAAGAGCAAACTCAGGGCCTGAATTTTACATCGCGAAATTCCAGAGAAACCTTCGGCAAGCGCCGAGTTGGCGACTCCCGCTCAAACTGCGGGCGCGGAAACTAAAACCGCGCGCAATCCGCTCTCGAATCCCCCCTCACACTTTTAGAGACACACATACGGAAAGGAACTCACGGATCTACGCTCCCCAAACCCCAACCCTCTCGGTGAGCGCTAGTGTAAATTAATAGATGGCGAGAGCTTAATTGGGATGAGGATACTCCTCGTAAGTCGACACTGAAACGAATGGCGGGACGAGGCTCGCCAGTGGTGTTAAAACACGGCCCATTGCCCTCACACGGCTATAATAACCACGTTGTATAAATCATAAATTAATCAGGTTTTAACTAATTACGACTATCCATGTTCACCAATTAAGCACAGGAATGGCTCATTTAACCGCGAATTAGTCACGAACCGAGATGACTATTGTGCTTACCGTAGCTACCCTGGTCTATTCTAAATGACCAAGCACACACATCGGCGAAGTGTACGACCAACGCGTTTCTTCGAAGAAAATCAACCGCACCCCAAATCGTTAATAAAGTAGCTCCCAGTTATTAACCCAATCAATTAACCACAAAGACAAACATCCTCCACACACAACACACGAGCGCGCGCGCGCACACACGGGCACAAGCGACTCGCCAGCGATTCACCTCTCCGAAGCGGGCTTCTTGCCCTGGGACTAACAAAAAGCTGAGCGGACGAGCGGCCTCGGGGGGAAGGCGACGAAGCTGTTTACGTTCAGTCTGGCGGGTAAATTGTCGGCTGCTGCTGCTGCTTGTGAGGAGTTGTAATGAAGGAGCAGGAGGTGGTGGTGGTGGTGGCCGCTGTGCTCGACTCCCTCCCTCCTTCTGTTTCCCGCCAGCAGCGCGCGCGCGTTCGAACGCCGCATAGCGGTGACGTCACGTCCGCGCGGGGGCTCATTAACATAAAGCAAATTTGCGCGCGACTCGTTTGCTTGATAATATCGGAATATTTAAATAATAAAGGTGGGTTTTTTTTTATTTAGTAAACCTCCCCACCCCCCCCCTCTTAATTGTGGATAATATAAACAAACCTTTATTACGGATAATATTGGTGGCGAAAGCCTACGTGATAAGAATTTGTATTTATACTGGAGGAATCCGATGAGCTATAAAGCTCTTTTTCACAGATGCCCAGTAGGGGGCGGGTTAGAATATCACAACAACAAACACAACAAAAACACGAAAGGAGTGCAAAGTATAGGAAAGGAAAGGTTTAACACGTAGGCTTTCGCGGCCAAGATGTATTACCGAAGCTATCAAAGAAGTTGTGTACAGGATTAACTGCACGTGTGGTAAATGTTATGTTGGGCAAACAGGACGAATGATCAGCACGAGAATAAAAGAACATCAGAGAAATATAAAATGTTCCCAAATACAACTGTCAACAAGGACACTAAATTGATTTTGATGATGTTGAAGTTTTGTGCAAAATCAGCTACTACTGGCAAAGACTAATTAGAGACTCTATCGAAATTAAAAGAAAAAAAACGTTAACCGTTCGGGTAGCTACCGCCTTAGTGCTGCATAGAAGCGAATCATCAAATAATGCATTATTTAAATGCATGCCTACAAAGGGCAGCGTACTTCAATAGGGATTACTGTTGGTAGGGCAATTTCAATAAACACAATAGACAGGAAGGACAAGTTCAAAGGGCTCGCAAAATGCACATGCATCATGTACATGCATAATGTGCGTTGCCTCAATAATCACCACATTTACGCCTCTATATACTCAGATTGTGAATGTTGTGGCTTGGCTCTCCAACACAACGGTGTTGCTGTACTCGTGACGAATTGGCCACGTTCCGTTGACGTGACAACCCTTACTAGTTGGCTGTGTCGGGTGGTGGCGGGGTTTTAAAGATAGCTCAGCGAAGGGGCGGCTTATCACGCAGAGGACCCGGAGAAAAACCTACGCGTCCAGGGAGAGAGAGAACACATTTCAAACTCCAAACACACATTAGGCATCGTCAGGGTCGGGATCGAACCCAGGAGCCCACATACAGCGGGCGAGGTAGTTAACGTCTCGCCACCGCGGCGTCAACATTGGCGGGTCAGAAAGTTGCAACAGCAAACAAGACAAAAACTGGGTTCCACTTGCCTCGAGAAAATGGTAAGCAAGCTACTAAATATCAATCATGAACACATTTATTATGTAAGTACGACTTATCAAGCTTGGGCAAGGCAGCAAGAACAACACAACAGTCCCAGACCACACCAATATAACACGGAGTGGCTTTTTTACTCCGGGGTCCTCTGATATTTCCCTCCGCATTTAAAATCAACATGATTTTAAGAGCATTTGGCTGCTATACATTTACACTATGATGATAAGCCACTTCGTTTAGCTAGCATGTGTGGCCAGGTGGCTTCTGAAAAAGAGTTATATAGCTCAGTGGGCCTTACCTGGTAATAAAAGAAGGTTGTTTTATTTATATATTTATTTGTGATTTGCTTATATATTCTATATTCTTTGCACTCTTGTGTTTTTGTATTATTTATTGTTGTAACGTTCTGACCCGTCCATACTGAAGGAGAAACATCAAAACAATAACGCTGACGCTGCAATATTTATTCACCCAAATATATGCAGGCTAAGCAACATCGAGCAATTACACAATCAAACCCATCACACTCGGAGAGCAGAAGTCAGCACCTAACGCAAGATCGGTTCGTACTGTTGCTCGGAACGCTGTTGCTAGGGATGCCGTTACTACACACCTCTGTTGCTAGGGATGCCGTTGCTAGGGTCGTCGTTGCTAAGGACGCCTGTTATGGAAGCCTGTTACTTAGGGACGCCGTTGCTAGGGACGCCATTGCTAGAGACACCGTTGCGAGCGATGCCGTTGAAGGGATGCCGTTGCTATGGACGCCGTTACTACACACCTCTGTTGCTAGGGATGCCTTTGCTTGGGAGGCCATTGACATAGCCAGTCATTGCATGTGTGCCGTGGTAGGGACGCCGTTGCTAAGGACGCCTGATGCTACGGACGCCTGTTGCTAGGGACCCCGCTGCGAGGAACGCCGTTGCTAGGGACGTCGTTGCTAGCGATGGCTGTTGCTAGGCATGCCCTTGTTGCTAGGGCCAGTCATTGCTAGGGCCGCCTTTCTTCCGGACGCCGTTTCTATGGACGCCTGTCGCTTAGGAGGCCGCTGAGAGGTACAGCCGTTGCTATGGACGCGTTGAATTGATATTCCCACTGTCAGTTTCCGATTCCGACAACTGGCAGAATGGTGGTCCATGACAATGCTCATCTCCCCGTCTTGACAGGGGAATCACTCGGCTGGCCGGGTGGTTTGAGGACAGGCAAGGAGCAACTGAGCCTGAGTGGAGGGACCACGAGCAAGGGGAACACCATGGAGGCGGCCCGGGCGGCCACGGTGCCGTAGCTGCGTGTGCTCATGACGTCACGACGACGCCGACACTTCCACTCGACTCCTTGTTTGGACATAGGGCATGGCGTCACTACGTAGCTCCCCCAACTTGAACTCTGCTCCTTATATGGACATTGAGTATGACGTCACTAAGCAGCCACCCTTCCACTCCGTATAGCCACATGGGGCATGATGTCACTACGCAGCCCACCCTTCCATTCTGCTCCAGATGACATTGAGCATGACGTCGCTATATAGCTGACCTCACCCCACCCTCCTTTCGGCAACTTTGCTGTCTATCAATGAGGAAGGGCCAGAGTTATGATCGATATCGCCTCTTCTACTTAATGCTGAAATCGTTTCTCCAAGTTGATACGGCTCAATTTTATCAGAATCAGAATATGTATTATATTGGAGGAATCTGATGAGCTATAAAGCTCTGTTTTTACATATGTCCAATAGAAGCCTGTCAGAAAGTTACAACAACAAACAAAGTAAAAACAGGAGTACAAAGTATAGGAAAGGTAAAAAAATCACCATGGGACCTAAACAAATCACTTAAAATATACCGATGAAAACTCAACTAAGTTTTATCTTACCAGGTAAAACCCACTGAGCTATTAATTCATTTTTCAGGAGTGACCTGGCCACAAATGATAGCTCAACGAAGTGCCTTATCATGTGGAAATTTATAGGAGCAAAATTATCTAAATAACCTCAATGCATGTGGAGGGAAAAACTAGGGGACCCGTAAAAAAAATCCACGCCACCAGAGAGATTGACCGCAAACTGCAGAGGGCACCATTAATGCTCGTAAATACCCCACGTGCGAATTTGTACCATCCTACAAAAGCTGGCCATAGCAGCTGCACTATAAGGACCCCGAATAAACAGGTCAATAAACATTTGTACATGTTTTACATTTCTAAGGTACATTACATCCGTAGACGAGGCCACGAAGTCCACACGACGCGAGGCACGGGACCTGCACACTTTCGGGATTCCACCAAGCACCGAGGAAGCTATTTGTAAAACAATCAGAACGAATTGACAAATAAAAATATCTATATAATCACTTAAAACACTACAACAACAAAAGGCCATTCGCAAAATTGCGGTGACGTCACCACAACGCTTGTGCCAGGCCAGGTGCACGTGAGGCCACGTGAAGTGTCGAAGGCTCGCTGACAGCAGGTCACAGGACGGTCCCTTGCGCCACGGGTTGACTTGGTAGATTCACCAGCTGTACCCTCTCCTGTGCCAACTTGCTGGGTTTTAACCGCCCGGCGCTCCGCTCCGTTGTTGCTGGAGGACGACTGCCTCCAAGTTGCCCAGGCGCAGCGTCCTTCACGAGCCTCCTCTACAGAGGCCGATCTTGACACCGATGGCACCAGTCTTCGGCAAGTCCACTCAGCACCACATCTTCCTGTACCGCATCAGCTCCCTCTACCCGGCCAAACAGAAGCTGTTTGTGCATTAAGTGGTTGGTCATGCCGGCTACGTGTATACACACACACAGGGAATACGTGTACACGCACGCACGGAACACGTGTACACACATTGAACATGTATACACACTGAACACATATACACACTGAACAGATATACACACTGAACATGTATACACACATATGTGGAACACGTGCACACACACTCATGCACACCGAGATCTCAATCTTAATGTGAATTGCGGAAAGTCGGAGGGTGGTGGGTGGGGGGCCAGGGGGCCCGCGAGGCTTGGAGTCCCGATGCTCTGTGTAGACTCAAGCTCCAAGGTGCTTCCATAATGAATAACAGCTGACTTGGTAGATTCACCAGCTGTAGGTGCTATTCGCGAACAGCACTTGCCCCACAAGTCAGTTTAGGCTATACGGGGATCTTTGTCTTTGCATGGTGTGTGAGTGGATGCCCAGTCGGCCACAAGGGCCCCCGAATCAACAGATAAAGAAGTCAAAACATTTAAATAAAATTATTTTCAAAATTATATTCATAAAAATACCTGCAGTCTACCATCGACCAAGCCCGATGATTAACGCGTCTGTCTGTCGTATCGATAGAGCAGCATAAAGTAACGTAATCCTATTTGAGGAAATCCTAGACCGATGGGCCGGCATGGAAGCAAGACGCACGATAACTTATTTGTGAGCATTGTACCTTTAAATCTATTTTATTAATATTGTCATTGTGAGACCGTCTTCCTCTAAACCCAATACACGGTGCAGCTTAAATAATGTATATATAGTCATAGCCTACATATTATTGTATACGGGTAAAAAACATCCGTAGCTATTTAAGTAAAAGTGAGTTGGGAGAAAGGTGGGGGCCCACAATAGTATCTTCCATAGCCCCGTGGAAATAGGTCGTTGCGCCCGTGAGTGTAGCGAGCCAGCCTGTATGTGCAGTGTAATGACGCGGGTTGCTGATGGGAACGGGTACTGACAGCAGGGGGCAGTAGACACGTCAGCAGGAAGAGATCAAAAGGGAAGCCCAGGACATG